GGCGGGGCTTCAGGACCGGTTTGATGACTGGGCTTTGAACTGGTGCTGCATCCACGGTCAGCTGCTTGATGAGCTGCTTGACGCCCACGGGGGAGTCAGGGGCCTGGGCTTGGGGCTCGGCAGAGGGGAGATCGGACACCTGGCCTGCAGTGACTGTCCCCAGAGAAGACGATGAATCCAGGAGAAGGCTGATTCGCGATCTGATGCTAGTCCCTCGCTTGTCCTCCTCAGCCTCTCTGACAGCTGCGTCTTCCATCTTTTTGCTGATTTGGTCCGTGAAGGCTGGACCCACGGCTCCATCAGAGCTTTGTGATGTGCCGCTCTTCAGCGTCTTAAGCGGTTCTCTTATAGGTGGCAGCGGCTTCTCTTCTGGAGCATCCTCCTTAGTGTTTTCTTTTGGACTTTTATGGTGCAGTGACAGACCTATTGACTCAAACTTCGATGTTAGATCTGCTGAAAGGGGTCGCCCTTTTCGGCGGGGAGGGGGAGCTGGAGTTTCTGGGCTAGTCGGACTGACGGGGAAAATGGCCGATACAGGTCTGGGCCTTGAACTCCTGGGTTTGGGTCGCAGTGGCACCGATGCCTCAGGCTGAACTTTGTCTTTATTTTCTTCCTCCTGCCCTATCTGAGCGAGAAAGCCCATGGACTTAGCTCTTGTAATAGAGGTACCACCTTTATTGTGTGGCTTGTGCCCCCCCTCATCTTCTTTTGTAGTGGTTCCAGACCACTCTGCTGCTGAGAGTCTTTTGAGGCTCGTGGAGTGGACCAAGTTTGATGCAGCAGGTTTCTGCCTCTCAGTGTGTGCAGGAGGGGTCGGTTTGGTGGGGTCACCAGCAGGGAGGGGCGGAGCCGGTTTGAATGGCTGAGCTACTGGCTTGGTTGTCTGTCCAGTGTTGAGTTTATTAGGTGTTCTAAATGAGGTAGGGGCTGGACGGTTAGGGTTAGCAGAAACCGGCCTTGCTGTTGGTTTGGGAGTTCTTGGAGGATCTGGTTTGTATCCAGCAAAGCGAGTAGACTCTGGTCGGGGTTTGTTTTGGGGCTTGGGGGCAAGTATGGGTTTAATGGTGATATTTTTCTCCACACTGAAAGGTTTGGGTGTGAGCCGTGGCTTGGGACTTGGGACAGGTTTGTTAGGCTCTGATGCAATGATGTGGGCCTGACTGATAGATGGAATCTCAATCAGGCTCTTGTTGCTTGAGTCAGTCAGGGGGCTCAGGTGAAGTCGTGTTCCTGCCACTGCCCTCCCCACATCCCCAGTTTGAACCTCCACCTGAGCAGCCATCCTTTAAAATGAAAAGAAAGAAATAAACCTCAATTTTTTTACTCTCAGGGGAAAGCCCCACCATACAGCAAATACAGCACATTATTTAGCACTGCAATAAACAAACCCATAACCGGTTATTGATCACTGGGGTCTTTCATTCAAAGCGACTGACGTCACATTATGAAAAGCAACAGAATGAAAAGCAACAGAATGAAACATAAAGTCATTATTCTACTTGAACTGCATCAGTAGGATGTTGAGATTGTGCAAGTCAACCTGCATTAAAAGAGATTTTAGAATAGAAAGTGAGCCTTGGTTGTTTCTACACCATTTCTGGGCAAATAAACGTGAATTATGCCAAGACTCAACGGACGGGGAAACTACAGGGGGATCATTAATCACTGGTGTATTCATTACATCAGTGACTTTTCTGCACCGTCATGTGAAACGTCTGACGTGATGAATTACAACAGCTTAGCAAACAGCTGGTTCGGCGGTGAGCCTGACAAGTGCTGAAAGGCTTTTCAGAAGTCTTTAATCTATTTAGCCCACATTTCTGTTTATTGTTACTTAAATATTGATTGAAGAATGTTTGATTTGAAAGAGAACACTTTATAATACATTCAACTCACTTAAAAATATCTAGAAGGTTTGCACAACTCAGTTTTATTGGGCCAGTGTAAAACGGAGACCTGAAACGTGATCAACTATCACTCTTTTCGTTTTTACTGGTGCAGCAGAGATGGTGGACAACCGTTTAATGTCCTTGTTTTCCTTTGCTGGAACTCATGCAGATCTGTCGTCACCATCAGGGAATGGAGGATGCAGCTGCAAACTCATTCCCGACTGCCATTAGAAAACCAGCTCCACCCATAATGGACTTTCACATGTTAATCTTAAACAATCTCGTTATCTAACAGGAGATAAAGCGAGAAGAACCAGATTACCGCAAATTAACGCGGCATGTTCTTTGGACAATATGATTACAATCCTTTTCACTTTCTGTTTTTGTAGTTTTGGCAAAGACAAAGGCGTAAAACAATCCCGTGCTGGCTCTTTAAGACTGACATAATGATTTCCACATGTTGAGTTACTTTGTTGCACAGAACAGCAAGTTCTCTAGGAATAACAACGTGCGGTTCGCGCCACCATGAGCAGTATCATTGCTTACCTGAACGGACGTCAACCGTCAGCTGCAGAGCTCCGACTTTTGTTGTAACCAAGCCACGATGTCATATCACACAGGAGGGGGTTGAAGAAGCCTATGCAAGACACGCTTTGTGTCAGTAAAGAAAAAAGAAAGGCTTTTCTAAAGCAAAGCCTACAATGCTTAAGGCTGTGGTAGAAAGAAATCACAGCAGAGTCACAAACAGGTTGTCCAAATGCTGCTTCACTGTGGCATTCCCACACCTTCCAGCAGAGGCTAATAAATGATAACGTGAGCACCGACACACACTTGAGTAAACAGAGTCACACCCCATGGCATACGTCCAGATGTAAAGTAAAACAAATTGCTTCAAGAAATATATTAGTGCACCTCGGCTGTGTGTCCCTTGCATTATGGCCTGGATCACCACTAACCCACCATGACTCACTCACTCGCTCAGCTGTGAGTGCTGCAGACTCCCCTGGTCGCTGTCTCCTTCTGACTGAAGTAAAAGAGGGGGAAACTGGACTGCAAATTTGAAAAAAGTGAGCGTTTCGTGTTGACAGGAAACGCCTTGGCCAAGATGGAATGCTAAACATTCAGTGTGATGGTGGGGTCGAGCAGCACAGCGGGGATTAGGGGAAGTGTCCACCTTATATAGGCTTAAAACATTTGATCGCCAGTGCCAACCAGTGAGCTTATACCCAGTGTGTTTGGTTTAGATTTATAAGGAAGTCAGAGAATTTTTTTTTTTCTACATTACATAGTTCGTGCTGGACAGTGGGGGATTTGGAAACCTAACACACTCTGTGGTGTTTTGACAGCAATGGATATCAAGTCAATAACCTGGCTGAGCCAGTTTTACAGAGGAAAATTCCTTACATAAACAAAAGCCAATATCATGCCAACTGATCAACAAACAGCTAAAGGAAGTGTAGAAAACAATAGAAGGAGATAGATACAAGTCATTATGCACAATCTCACACTTATAAATAAATAAAAAAAAAGATTCAGGTCAAATTGAAATGATAAGATGGCATCACACAGGACTCACACAAGTGATATTTATCAGAGCCAATCAGGTAACGATATACAAGATTTGAGTAAATCTTACAAACAGAAGTACTTAAATATCAGTAGATATAACTGCGCTTGCAGAATAGACTTGAAAGTGTCGGGAACTATACAGAGAATTACTTTTAGACAGAAACTTGTAGACAAACAATGACCTAAATGCAAATCAGTAAGAAATATCCATACAGATCACCTGTAACGACCTAACTAACTCCAAACAACCTCTAATGGGTGGCTTCTTTTTTGTATTTTTGCTGAACTTCTTAAAGACCTGTGCTAAACCAGAGTTATCGTTTCCTTCTGTCTTGTCCCCTCATCCCAACCGCTGAGCCCAAATCGTGGATAGTATCCGGTCAGTTTAGCCAGAGACTAAACTGGCCTGCGGAGGAGTGCGTTTTCCTGGCGAAAACGTGAGCGCGTGTACCCAGCGAGCACGACACACGCAGAGAAAACGTATATTTTGGACCGTCAAACAACTCTGACAACTTCAAACAAACAGAAACACATCAACAGTTTGCTCGCTAGCAACAGGGGCTAACAACTCAATAAGCTGAATAACAAAATGGGAACACTGACTGAACCTGTCTTTCGTTCGCTGGGTGTTTGATCCGAGCAGGAGACAACTTACCAATTGATGAAGTGGGGTTTTCCTCTCCTCTTACCGAAAAAACTTAAAGGATAATGTATATACAGCCAGTTCCGAAGGACAGTAACGAGTCGTTACAGGTAGTTGGGATAGGGGCTAGCTGAGGGGCTAACTCAGCTAGTTTACCTAGCTAGCCAAATGACTGGCTATCCCGTCTCAGGTTGCAGCTTTGTTGACAGGCTCGACTAGACACCGCTGAGCCCCAGGCAAGCAGTCTGACTGGTTCACAACTAGACAAGTTACCCAGCACGGGAATTGGACTTCCGGTTACTACCCTCGGAATGAAGTATGGCATCTTGTGTTTTATAGATAAGTAGTGTGAAAAGTGTTATTTCCATGCCTCTTAACATAGTTAAATTATTTTAATATCTGATGGATAATTCATGTATTATTTGCCGTGCGCGCCACTACATCCCACCGCATTGGGACGTGTCTATTGTACTCACCAACTTAACTTCCGGTTTTATGAGCGCTGCAAATAAGTGACTTAAGGGAGCTAAAGTTTTATGTAAAATTGTACAAGGGATGCGATTGAGCAACAAACATTTCGCCTAAACTTTGAAGACAAAGAAGTCAGATAACCACTTTAATACGAAAGAATTTTTCTGGGAAGTAAAAACTGTTAATTTGGTACAATCCAATTGAGGCAGATTTAAATTGATTTCAGCTGCGTTCGTGTTATTTTGAATCATAGATCCTGATTTTATACAAAATATGTTTTTATTTAGCCATTACACTTAACTAATATGTAGCTGAGACAATTTGTACATAAATGTTTATTTTACAAAAAGACTGCCATCAAGTGATGGAAAGGTATAATTGCACCACAAGATGCTGTTTTGATGTGAGGAATTACACCAGTTTGCCAGTTTGATTGTGAATAAATCTTTATTCAGACTAGTTATGCTTACCAGCCTATAAACCTTAATAGGTGGATGAAATTACCCTTAAACAAAAATATTCAAGCCACGCCTCTCCAGATTTCACAAGCATTTAACACTCAGCAATCCTCCATGTCACACATTGTCAACACTGAAATAAAACTGGAGGAGTAAAGTTTAAATGAGTAAACACTCCCCATCAGAAAATGGAAAAGGAGAAACTTAATAGGGATAAATGGTGTTTATATTTCAATCAAGCAGAATATACGTGTTCTGTTGGACCAACAGAACTTACCCCTTGCATACTGCTGTGTTTTATGGTATTAGCACATATATTCAGGATGGTATTGGGAAAATACTACAGCTCTTATTTCTGTGGGAGCACACAGGTTGTTTTCCTGCGATCAACACTGAACACTGTACTCATTTTGACTTTTGTAGGGAGAAGTTGCTCGCTGATACTGTGCAGGTGCAACATACGCGCAGCTGGCTGACTGCTACTTGGGTATGAAGCACACTCAAAGTATCTTATCCGAATGACTCATGGGTCCAAATGCAAAGTTCAAGGTCAATTAGTCATAAGAAGCCTAAAGCGCATTTCATATTAAAGCAAAAAACTTTTTACATTCTGTTAGCATCTGAGCTACAGGTTACCCCATAAGGCTTTCAGTGTGACAGGAAGATAGCGCACAGCTTTGACCTTTAGTACAACACAAGAATAAAATGAAAGGAAATTAAAGTGATGAGAAGACTCCTGATAAATGGATTGAGCTGTCAGAGTCATGTCTAAAGCAGCGTGAACTTTTGCTACGGCCTAAAACCTCTCCCAAGAAAGATCTACGTGGTAGTAAACTAGCAGTGGAAAGATATCAGGAAACACCATTGTGACATGAGAATCAGTGTCTACTTTGTGTGAACCATGGACGTGCTGAACAAAAGTTTCTGCTTTTTCTTCTTCTTCTTTCCTCCTTTTTCATCTGAAAGACAAAAGAGCCAAGAATAAGTGCGAGCGCAAAATAACATCTGCCCAGACACGGACGATTAGAGAGGTCACAGACCTGGTTCAACCACAGGTTGTGGTGGAGAAGCTGGGCCGCTGTCTAGCTGCAGAAGTGCCTTCTCAAAAGCCTGGCTGAAGGAATTCTGAAAGCTGGGCACCGGGACACGATCAGAGCCGTCGCTCTCGCCATCACTGTCTGCTGCTGGGGGTGCAAGCAGCATATCTGTACAGGGTGACACGCAATCCTGAGTTCAGGCGGCTTTTGGGGTGTTATCAGATCCTCACAGCCATTTGGAACCATATCCTTTTTGTATAAATGGCAATAAGGTTATACGAAACCGTTAACTTTAGCTGGCTGATTATTCTCCATCTCAGTATCATGGGGAAGAAATGCTAACTTGTGGAACGCCTTGCTGACATTCTAGCACTGTTTATTTGCCATGGATGAAACCTTTCTTAAACCAAATAGGCCTCATAGTTCCACTACCTCTCTTTGGAGTGATCCTGGGCCCGGCATCAACCCTGGCTCTCCCATCTCTCAGCATCTGTACAGGACAGGGTTTATACAATGTCCAGATAAGTGATGAAATCCTCTTATGACAAAGATAATCTCACCTAAAGATTTTACTGTACGTACCTGTGCAAAAGACATGCAGTGGGAATCCTCCTCCAAGCTACCCACAGTGGGTGAGGGCGCACACAGACTTGGGCATCTCATCCCATCTTAGAAAAAGAGAAAAGGCACAGTTTTTGATCACTGCATATTCAGAGGCAGCGGAAAAAGCTTTACAGACAGACGACAGGGTATATGAACACTAAATGCCAGACGGAAGAGGCTAGCTTACCCGAGGATGGACTGCTGCTGAAGGGTGACGGGGGCGCCAAAGTGAAATCTGGCTGGATCGGTGGGCTGCTGTCGTCAGGTGGAGAGTTGAATGCTGGGAAATGATGGAGGTTCTCCAGTCCAATATGCACCTCAGGATCTGAGAAGACGCGTCAGTCAACAAACGTGACAAAAGGATCCCGAACATAACACTGGCAGCATTTTAAAAAGGGGCCTTGCTGTACTTACATTTACCCTGCTTCCTGCCTTCCTCCATTTCAATTCGCTTCTCCCGGCGTTTCTCATCCCTCACCTTCTTCTGCCTCAGGCGCTTTCTTTTCTCCAAGTCGTCTAAATGTTGAACAGAAAGTTTAAACAAAAGCATCTTTCAGAGTCGGACAAGTTTCTTCAGGATCATTTAAAGTTAAAAGTCCAACCTGCGAATGTGTCCAGCGTTTCTTTGGACAGGATGGGCGGCTGCAAGGCCAGCTCACAGATGCTGTACTCGCATGTGAGCGGCAGATGAGCCAGATAGCGATGCCGACGACGAATGTCCTGCGAAGGGGCCAAAAGAAAGAGCAAACAATCAAAACAGCAGCTATTTTCAAAGAGAGACAGACTAAAGCAAACAGGCTAGAACAAGCTTTTTCATTTTCCGTCTCAGGATAAAGCCCATTCCCGAGCAGCTCTGTGATTTTAAGGTTCGCTGACCTCTGTGACCGTCTGTCCCACAATCTCCACCACTGACGCGGTGATTGAGTCGGGACAGGCCTCCAAGCTGCCGTATTCACGCAACAGACAGCGCACATTCACAGGATGCAGAAACATCTGCTGGCAGTCTTCAGCTGAGGGCAGAAACATGGAAAGCTTTGTACATTGTTCAGGTTTGCTACAATATTTTCCAAAGCTCACTGAATCAACACCATTAAGACGCAAGTAATCTTAAATAATTCTAAAGCATTGATAGAAAAAACAGGGGCATTTTGGCTAGGCACGCAATAAGCAGAGGGCTGCCTACCTTGGTAGAAATAGTAGTAGGGACCATGCACCGCGCTGGCAGAGGGGCGGGATGTCTCTGCCTGGTTGGCTGGGCTCTCTTCATCAAGCTGGAGCTCTGGAACTACGTCCACCATGGGTTCTGGGGGCTCCTCCAGCACACTCTCCAAAACGGCTTCAGGAAAGCCTGGCAGCTCTGCATCAGTGTCTTCTGTTTGCTCAATGACCTCATCGTCAAACGCCGAGGAGTACTGCAACACAGGCTGGGAGGGAGAGAGGACGCCACTTACTGAAGAGGATATGGCTGAAACTATGCTAAATATAATTATCCCTAGAAATGCATTATGAAAGATGAAAACATGTATGACTTACCTTGGCACTGCTGACATTAGTCACCAATTCTTCCACAGGGGAAGAAGGTTGATTTAGAGTCAGAGAAGACAGGTCAGGGCAGTCGGTTTTTGTCTTCTGATGCTTCTGCAGCATTTCCTCATGCTCCTATAAACATATTTGGGATGTTTTAACAATCCATACAAGAGGACTGACATTTTCCCTGATAACATTGCTTCTGATCTCCGGGTTTGGCCATAAATGCAATTTTAGTGAAGCTACCTGCAGCAGACAAAGAGCGCTCTGGATGAAGCAGCCCTGACTGTCCTCTTCCTGGCTAAGCTGAGCCTGCAGGACTGCCTTCTCCTCTGTGACCAGGCCCAGAACCTGTTCCGGGGAGGTCAGCAGCAGCTTGGAGTACGGGCTCAAAGAGGCATCTACAAAACAAATGCTTCCATCAGTCCAGAAGTGATCCTGGAAATAAGCATTGCACGCAACTCAAAACACTAACCAAATGTAGCAGATACAGACTTTAAAATCGAGTGAGACTGATCCATTAAGAAGCGGCTCTAACCTCCAAAGCGCACAGGCTCCTCCACTTTCACCCACTGAGAGCTCGGCATGGCCACCAGGGCTCCCTTTTCTCTCCGCATCAGTCGCATAGTGATGACATCGCCAACCACATACTGCTTGGTCTCCATAGCAACCACACTGTAACAACAACATTCAGAGAAGAATAAACCTCCTCGAACCGACATTCAAAGTCTTCACTGCTTTTCAAGAGTCGGCAAAAGCTTGTACCCCACCCCCCCTTTACCTCTTCAGGTCTTCGGTGTGCACGGCCTCGTAGCAGATGGGGCACTTGGACCAGCTCTTATCACTCAGAGACAGGTAGTGCAGCATGCAGGGCCAGCAGAAGATGTGTCCACACCGGGTAATGCGGGCTGCCACAGGAGGGTACAGGCAGATGGGGCAAGACGGCACCTCGTGGCTATAGATGCGCTGTGGACGGACGCAAACAGCTGGTTATTACATGTTTCACATCATATCAGACAAGGCAATTCCCACCATCACTGGCAGATACTCACCACCTGCTGCACACAGTCCCAGTTGACCAGAGTGTCTGGATCAGTAAAGTGGGCCTTGTAGTCCTGGTCATCGGTCACCACAAACTGGCAGCTGAAAGAGACACAAACTCAATACTTCTTCATCTTTTGCATCTCTGATATTTTCCATTGCCTTCAACAGTCTGCTCACTTGGCCTGCAGAAAAAGCTCCTTGTTGAAGGGCTTATTCTTGTGGCCCCATTTATTTCGGCGGCCCCAACAGGAGTGGCCCCCATCTCCGACGCCACCATTACCTCCACGGGGTTCAAAAGTGAAGTTTAACAGGTGGTTCAGGCTTATTTTCTTCGGTCCAGCAAACTGAGCCGGGCTAAACTCGGCCCGGCGCGTCTCTGCTACCTTGAGGAACGGGGAGGAAATCAGATTGTAAAAGAGGCCCTGTTGGCAAGGTATCAACCTCAGTAAGCAGAGCAAAAGTCAGTTCAGCAAATATAAACACCAACCTCCTCACGTCGTCCTCCACCTGTAACACCATATTGTCGCCCCCCACCTCTCTGGGGGGGTCTCTTGTCAAAATTCTTGCTTTTCTGTGAATTGGTGCGGCGAGGGCCAGGTAAACTTTCAGCTTTGGGAAAGGAGGGTTCACGCTTACGGTTGTAGCGCTTTGAGCCTCCATTGTTTTTACCTTCTGTGAATACAAACATACAACCAAATTAGCTTTTTTTTTTTTTTTAATAGCACTAATCTTGCAAACCTTTAGATGTCTTATCAATGACAAAAAATGGCAACTATTGGTTGGTAAACACATAATAAACAAGTGCATAAGCTGCCCAATGTACTTAAAAAAATTTGTGCATTTCATATAGTTTTGGGTACGGTAATTTACACAAAGGTTAAGAAAACATTAAAAAAAACATTAAATTCAGTCCCTTTCTATAAAGTCACAGCAAAATTATAAACTCAAACAATGGTAGGGAAAGTGTCACAAACTGGGATTTACCTAATATTTGGGGGAATCTTGGGTAATTTTCATGTAGGTCATATAATAATTAACAGGTATGTTAAATTGAACCATGGTTAAGAGCTAAATGTTATGCTGCCGTTCTAACGGCTTTTTGGGTCAAATGTCCTGACAGTGACGTCAGACATGCCGGATAAACAACCTGCGAGGCCCTGACAGGCCCCAGCGCAAGGACTGATTAGCTGTCCTGCTCACTCATTTTGTAACCTCCAACAGCTGCAGTGCCGTTTCAATAAAAGCTTCTCTCACCTGTTTTGGGTTTAGACTCGCCTGGTGGTGGGCCTGCAGAGCTGGAACGGGGCGGAACCTTGGTGCTGGTGCTGCTGTTGGGGTTTTTCTCCATGTTTGTCTCCGTGCAGTGAGCGCTGTTGAGGCCGAACTTCGGGCAGAGAGCCGCCGAGCTCTCTAGCATCAAACGGAAAAACGGAGGAGGAAAGTGGGCTGCAGTGAGTGCGGGTCAGGCGACGAAGGCCCTGATTCATTTCTATCAAACGCGGAGACTCCATCACGGCGACATCTTGACAACAAACAAACCAAAGAAAAATTAAGAGACACGGTTATGGCGTCTCAAGTTACGAAGGCTATGGGAGGATAGGACGAAAGCTCGCCACGCGGGGCCAAGACCCCTAAAGCTAAGGTTTCTACCCGTTTAGGAAAACAATGTGCCCTTAAAAGGCGTTTAAAGTTTCCCAAAATCTGGAAAACGTGATGATTTGAGGAGTTTTAACCCCAAAAAACACGATCGAAATACCGAGTGTTCACTAATGGCGACGGGTCGCCAGACAAGAATCTGAGAGACCCGGATGGATCTTGTACCGCCTGCCAATATGATTAGTACGGGAGCAGCAAGGCATCATGGGAAATGTTGTACTTCAATATGTCAGGCATTGCAGTACGAAACCTTAAAAAGCTGCCAAATGAGACAAAATCCCGTTTGTTTCGAAATTGTACTACAGTATTTTCAGAAAACGTTTTAATTACAACTATACTGGATATGCATAGCATTAAATTTAGTTTGTAAATCTGAAATTGAATCTTTATACAATTAAATGTAGATGATCCTTCTGAGTTGAGAAAATAACAATGACAAAAGCTTTATATTAAATAAAAAACAGTTCTTTACTGCGATAGCAAAATACAACTGAACACAAAACAGTTTAAATACAAAATCAATTAAGTGTAACAAGATATCTGGTTAATATAAACTCACTTTCTTATAATGTAGAACACATGATTGCAACTGCATTTCCGACGAGAAGAGAGAAGAAAGTGATTCACTTCCAACTCAAAGCAATGAATTGAGCGTGGGTTGGGTGAGGTTCACACTGCGATTGATCTCTATTGACATTCAACTCTGACTGCTGCTCTAAATTATGTAGAATAGGCATAAGAGACATCTACTTTCTTGTAGGGCTGTGACATACATTTTGTTTTCCAATGCTTCATTTGAAGAGGTATACAAGAGAGCAACAAAGGATCCAACATGCAGAGGTTCCTTAAGGACGTCCTTTTCCTAATGGCCAACAAGTAGTAGCTCCTTCAAAGGTAAAAATGCACAGACGACTATAAAAAGATAGTCGGAAACATACAGAATATCAAGGTAAACATAAGCATAATCAGAATAGCTCCAGAGGTGCCACTACTCAAGTGGAATCCATAGAGTCCTCATTTCCTCAATCAGATCAAGCCCAAAACTGTTAGTTAGGGTTTACTCAGTGATTTACCTTACCAATCCCTCATGCATTGGTTTAGAGTTGTTGAGTTCCAAGTTATAAATTTAACCAACCATAAGTGGTCACCACTAAATAATACCTCCAGTGCTTTATAGAGGTCTATCATACACATAGCCAACATAATGTCAGTCTTATATTGGTGCACAGCATGAAAGTAGCTGCTGACATCTGGAGAGGTCACTCTTCTTCATCTTCATCTTCACTCTTTGATTCATCTGCAAATTGTTCCTTGTTTGAACGTATTAGGGAGCAGCTCAGAATTGCCCGGCGAATTTGCTGTTTTTCTTCTGTAGATGAAAATATAAACAGTCAAAGTGCAGTTCTCTTGAAAAACGTCCTCAACTAAACAAAAGACTACAGGGGAGGAATTTGGAAAGATCTTACATAAAATTCAAGTACCAAGACTGGATTGAAATTTTAAGTTAATGTCAGAATATGTAATTGAAAGAATTTTGAATATTATAGAGTTTGATCTGGATGATAAAAAAGACTTTTTAGGGTAAATCTCTCACCTTCATTTTTGCACTCTGGGAGCATTCGTTGGAGCTGTTTGGCGTTGTAGCGGATCAGAAACTTCTGACATGTCCGAATTGTTCCTGTTGTAAGGCAACAAAAAAAACTTCGCTTAGGCAAGCATTCACTCTGTACAAAATACTTAACAAGCTGCTTGCTGTTGGTCATAAGCTGTGTATACACATTGACCTTACCTCCGACATGCAAACAGTTCAGAAAACATGGAATTCTTTTCCCACGACTTTCAAGGTGGGTAATGAAGGGTAATGCAGACCAGAGGAGTTTGTAACACTTTTTGGGGAAACGTAGAAACACTATTCCAGTGTGTGCATTTAGATATTTCACTGAAAAGAAAAAAGCGACGGAGAATGTTTAGCTCATTCAACCCTACATATAAAGACATGTTAAAATAGCTTCAGCTCTGTTTATTATGATATACTTCATTAGAGAAGAACAAAATCATATTTATTCGGCAGAGTTTACCAGAGAATCTGATGCTACACAGAGCTGCTCCGTAGTCTCCGTGCATCCGCTCCACCGCCGCCCTCACGGCCAGCAACACGGCTCGGTCATCCAGCAGCAACAGGTCGCTTCTGTCTGTCACGTTGACCTCGCACAGTAAATACCTGCCGGAAGAGAAGGGGTTTTTCCATTTTTTTTCGAAATTAGCTCTGACCAAACAACGTGTGAGAGCATAGCCCGTAAGCACATTTTTACCTCGATTTCACTCGCACCATGGTTAAACTCCTCCTCTTCCGTGCTAACTTCCGTCAACAAGGCCATGTCCCGGATGTTTGATCTAGCGCCGAACGCTGGACGGCGATGGTGACGCCGGATGCTCTCGAGACAATGCACGGGCCAGCACGGCAGTCTTGTTTACAAAAAATATGGTAAAAAAGCTGGTAACCAAACGAAAAGCTAAAACCCTGGAAGTTACAAATCCTCCCCAAATTGAAGATAAAACACACAAGAACTACCTCAGCAAATCAGTTTTATTGCAGAAAGTACATGAAATTGTGTTAACTTTTAACAAAGGCAGTTCAGAAGGAAACGGGAAGACCTGAGCATTAAACTATTCTCACCCCTATGGTAACCATGACAACCCACATCGCTCTCAGCCAATCACGAGCTTGATTTTCCATCCAAGAAACACGTTTCACGCCATCTTGAAATTCTACACGCAGTTTGTTTAGCCCGTCTCAAAAAGAGCAAAATTGCCCTTTTTATTCTCCACGGCGTACGATATGAACGGTTCTCGAAACAAACCTTCACAAGCAATCAGTAAAGGACAGACAGACGCAGACACCGGTTTGGAGACGAATCACAGAGAGAAAAAGACCGGAGGAGGAATGCTTAAGAAGCTGAAGTCGAGGCGCAGCCAAACGGATAAGTGGCCTGTGGTTACAGAGGATGAACTCCGGGCTCTGGGCAGAGATATTTCTCCAGACCATGTCCTGGGTTTACGGGCTGTAACGGAAGGTACTTCACGTGCACGTCATGTGATATTAAATACATAAATCTGTTAAATCATACATTTCAATGGAACCCGACTACCCTGTGCTAATTAAGGCTAATGTTGGGGGATTGCTTTCTCTGGCGTCTGCAAAGTCCGCAAAATGTCATTTGTACGAAGTCCTGCTAATGAACCAATTTGATGTTGTTCGTAGCCGGTTTATGTTGTTCAAAATCATGTTCAAGTGTGGAAATGTTTCTGCTGAAGGTTGCATTATTGTTCTTGCAACGAGTTAAAAAAGTGGAGTTTGATATATATTTATTCGTGTTTTAAGCGAGAACTTTGTTCTACTTCTCAGTGTAATAAAGCTTTATTTTGCCATCGGCTCAGCTTTTTTCATATTTTTATTTTTTTACTATAAAAAAAGACAACAGATATGCATCTAAGTTGTTGGTAGGCAGTCTCATTGTTTAGTTTGGTCAACACGATCTAGGCAACCCTGCAAAACGAGACCATTTTGAAAAGAACATTTCTTAACTATATTGATATCTACAAATATGCTCTAAATAAGGACTGTTTAAGATATGACAATAAAACACAAAAGTCTTGCAAAATATTAAATCAGGTGGCCTAAACTTATAGCCCTGCTTTTTATAATGCATTAAGTGACCCTTTGACCTAAATAACTTATGAGTTCACACGCCTTTCTTTTAATTTGTTGTTGTTTTTTTTGTCCCTTGTGCAGCTAATACCTCTCATTACTCACATCAGCGTTAACACATACTCAAATACTTATTTCTTTTTCTGTGCTGCATTGGTACCCAGTACATGTTCCTAAGCTTCAGTTTTTTTCCATGTCCCAGACTATCTTTGCAGACCAGAGGACAATATCTACGGCATCGACTTCACTCGTTTTAAAATAAGAGATCTTGAGACTGGCACAGTGCTGTTTGAAATTGCCAAACCCCCTAACAGCGGTGAGTCATACATTAACTTTTGTCTCAGAAACAAGTTTGATATTATTGAAATATAGGCCGCTCAGTTAAAATCACACAACAGAAACAGAACAGAAAATATTGCAGCCATTTTGAGCAATAATATGAGACATGCGACATGGTTTCTTCCAATGGAAAATGAAGCTTTTACCTTTTTGTTCCATTAATTCTTGTATTGTTTGGATGGCAATCAGCTGAGTGTTGTTTGGATCAGGTGCTGTGGAGAATGAAGACGACACAGGAGACGTGGATACCAGCGCGGGGCGTTTTGTCAGATACCAGTTTACACCAGCCTTCCTAAAGCTGCGCACTGTGGGAGCAACGTAAGAGAACAGACTTTCTGCCCGTGTAGTCGCCGTCTTCTCCCGTCTCATGTTGGTTTGAAGATGCGATTCTTGCTGTGTCTCTTTCTGATCTGCAGCGTTGAGTTCACGGTGGGCGACCGTCCCATAAACAGCTTTCGTATGATTGAGAGGCACTACTTCCAGGGACGCCTCCTCAAGAATTTCGACTTCGACTTTGGCTTTTGCATACCAAACAGTCGCAACACCTGCGAACACATTTACGAGTTTCCACAGCTTCCAGACGACCTCAGTGAGTTCTCGTCCGCTTCATCTGCCTTATTGCATAGGTTATTTTATACAACAATCCATACATTCATACTCCATGTGTCTCTATCCTCTTCCAGTTCGCCAAATGGTGGATCACCCATACGAGACCAGATCAGACAGTTTCTATTTTGTGGACAGCAAACTCATCATGCACAACAAGGCTGACTATGCCTACAATGGTGGGCTGTAATATCTGAAGGAAGCATGGGTGCAGTAGCAACCAGTGAATAGATTTCCTGGATAACACCCCTCTAAGAACTTTACTTTGGGGGTACAGAAGTATTTTCTCCTTTTTAAAACAAAAAAACAGGCCACTTCTGCCTTCATATGAAATCATGGATCCATTCACCAGTACCTCACATAGCTCAGTTCCTGGAACTCAGAGGGATGTTTTGCTCCAAACCTGACTGAAAAGTTTCGTTAGATATATTTTTTGTTTAGTTGTACGAGTCTAAAGTTCCCGTTTGAACACTTTTGCCTTAGGTTTCTTGCCATCTCTGCTGGGAGGGGATACTTTAAGTCACAGAACTCTTGAGACAACTCTTGTTAGATTGAATGAAAATAATTTGCTTAAATATAGAAGTTTAGGTTTATTGGTTCTACTCTTTGCAAGTGACAGTTGGATTTTCTGTACAGAAAATGTAGCTTGACTTGATATTTTCCACTGTTATTAGCAACAGATTACTATGTAGCAGGAATTTAGTTTATTTCTGAGTTAGATTCTTCTTTAGGTAACAAGTGGGAGTCATTGGGACCATTTACAAGGTATCTATTTTCCAATGTATATTTGGAAAGTTGATCAATGTCTTCTTGGGTAGAATATATTTTAATTAAGGAACAGTCTGTTCTCTTTTCATGATCTCAGATGCCACATTCTTCCAGTTGAAACTGTTAAATAACAACTTTATCTTCTTTGACATCTGCTCATTGTAGAAAATCTGTACTGCAAAAAAAAAAAAAAGAATATAGTTGAATCTGATTTGCAGGTCCTTCGTCTGTTTCGGTTTGCTCTGTCTTCTCCTATGTGACTACATTGTTGTTTAACCATCCGATGTTTGTCTTCCTGGTTATATTGGCACAACAGTACTGTGAACCTTTTGTTCAGAAGCCGAGTTTGCCAAGTGGTAAAGGCTTTTAAAGGTGATTGCTTTGGTCAATGTTCTGCTGCTGTGTTCCGGTTCTCAGTTTGCAGATGAAGTACCGCAGTAGCAAACAGACAGATGTAACTTGGTAGTTAATCTATTTTTTATGAGGCACAAGGGTAGCTGGACTTTGTAGACCTGAGTGCACAGAGAAGCGATGAACTGTCGAAGATTTTAGCCCATTTTTTTGGACAAATTATCTCCACCTGTGCAATCTCATGCAACTTTGCACACAGCTCTGAAATAATTCCTGTCTAAATTATGCTTATACTTTATAGAGGAAGTGTTGAACTGATAAGGTGGGTTTTGCTGGGATACTTCTAAACTGTTCCATCTAAATTGACATTGATATTTAAAGCATTGGTATGGAAATAATCCCGTAAATGACAGGCTGCCTCTTACTGTATATTGTAACATTTATTTCATGTGCCTTGAATCATTGTGTTGACTTTTGTTTAGTTTTCCTTTCAAATGTGAGAAAATCTTATTTCTTTGACCAGTGTGAAAAACATACCAGTAAGATGAAGGGAAGTACATAATCTTGCAGTTGGACATTGTCTAAAATGAGATGTTTCCAGCCTGTTTTCAGAAAAAGTACAGCATTCGGTTAAGTACGATATATCTGTGGTGGTTTGCCAGAGCCTTGAGAAGTGGATTCACTTAAAATCTGCACTAAAAGCCTATGATTGACAAAACAGTTTATTCTGTAACCTGTTGCATGTAATCCACTTTTTATATGGGGTGTATTTAAAAAAAAAAAGACCAAATGCACATGTAACTAGAATTTCCTTAGAAATGGCTGACAGAAAAACAAATCCAAACATACTGAAGCCTAGTCTTCTTCATAGGTTGGTCAGAAATTGCTGATACGTCTTGAGTTTTTTTTGTAACGTGTAGCAGATATAGCAGAAACTTTGTACAAAATAAGCTGCACGTGTACCAAAAAAAACTTTTGGTTGTAAACATTTTTACACCTAAACTGAACAATGTGCAATTCAAGATTTATTTCATGATATGATATCTTATCCTGATATTGCAAGGCATCTACTGTAAGTTCATATTAAATTCTTTACTCTTCTGTTTTCTGCTTATTGTTTGAATTGTTAAATATGTTTGCAAAATTAATTCTGTAGCCATAGATGTTCCTATTTAGTTTTGGTTTTCAACGCTGTGTAAGTCTGGATGAATAAAAGCAAAAAAGTGAAGAAGAGTGTTGTTTTTAGTTTAAAGACCACATTACCCAGAGTTCTCAGCTCAGCAACAGACACAAACCGCGCATGGTTTAAATATGGCGGCCCCCTCTGGAAAGATGGTTCGTGCATCGGACGACTCGAGTAGCAGTGACAACGAAGAACTTAAAAGATGTCAGGAAGCAGTTTGGGAGATACAAAAAAATAACAATAAAGGTGAAAGTTCTATGAAGTTTGGAGCGTGAGAGAAAGTTTTATGTAAATTATAACCATTTCACAATTTGTTAACATGACCCGGGGAAGTCCGTGTGCATTAGCGTGAAGTTAACACGTGAAATAAAAAAGACGGAGAAATGACATTTTCAAAGTTTCTGGAGGTGTCCTGGTTTAAACATTTAGAGAACTGCAACAGCTGGTTAATTAGCATACTACTGCATTCAAAAAGAAGTCCTAACCTTTTATTCTACCTGTTTGTTTTAAGATGGGGACAGCAATGCTAAAGGCTCCAAACGGTGAGTAAAGCAGGTTAAACGAGGAGAACGTTTTTTGAGCTTCTGATAAATCTAACAGACATAAATTTAGAGCCACATTTGCATATGGGAAATTATCTTAATACAAAAAAAATGCAAGTGTATGAAGCCATGGAATGTGTGAGTTAGAAAATGAATATTAAAACGATGTTTTGTGTGTTTGGTGGGTTGGTCTGTGAAACAGTGTTGTTGTTGCTGACCATGAACATGATGGCAACGAGCTCCAGGTCACCAAGGAGTTTAGAACACATGTTGCTAAAAAGTTAGGACATCTTCTCGACAGGTAACTGAACAGAACAGAATAAAGGGTAACGATTATTCGAGGAAGCCAGCTGTAAAGCCACGTTTTTCCTGTCAGATCCATTTCAGTGATGCAGCCTGACACCTCATCCCGTCTCACATCTGCAAACTGTGATGACGATGAAGGTAACACCTCTGCCACTTTTTATTAGGTTCTGTCTGTCTTCGAGGTTCGCTTTCTCTATAAACGTGAAGCTTTTCTCCTTTTTAGGGTTTCGTCTGTTTTCCACATCTGTCCCAGGACAGAAAGCTGATGAGACTCCAGCCCCTGTGAGGCGTCGGCCTGTTCCCAGCTCAAGGTTTTTCACATTAATTTTAATTATTCAATTTTATGTAAATGAATCTGTGTAGATGCCAACGTTTCTCTGCTCCTCACAGTGACAGCGATAGCGAAATGGAGACGAGGCTGAAGGAGGCAGCAGTGTCTGTCAGAGATCTTCTCCCTTCTTCAACATTTTCCTCTACACATGCACGTTCCCCAACAGAGCCCCCCAGTGTGGAAAGAACAGAGGAAAAGATGGTGTCAGAGGAAGAAGAGGCTGTCTCTGTCAAGAAGAAGAAGAAAAAGAGGAAAAGGAATCGAGATGGGACTGAGAAGGGGGACTCTGCCGGTTTTGCTCCCAGTCCAAACAATGGTGAGAACGGGAACTTGGAGCAGACAGACATTAAAGTCAAAAGGAAAAAGAAAAAGAAGCGAGATGGAAACAAAGAGGAAGCATTGAACTGAATTTTTTTTTTTATTATTTCCCCAGTTTGGGGCTCTTTGGCTCTGGCATTGCAGGCACCAGCATTTGGTTGGTATGTTCCTCATATTCAGAGGAGGAAAGACACTTTGCTCATTCACAATTTTGTACATACACTGTTGATTTGAAGTAGTCTTTACTTTTTCATGAAGTGAGAAATGAGCATTTAAAGCAGTGAGTTAAAAACAGCACAGGTAACAAGTGTCACCTGGATTTACACCGAATATTACAAAACATTAAAAAAACTGAACACATTTCTGGTTGATCTTGAGTCGATTCTGTGCTATTTCAAAGATTCATCTTTTAAGATATCAGCCCTCGTTGCGATTATAGCTGTGTTTTCGTCGAGCCCTTGTTGTGGCTTTTTCTGGGAATTGCAAATGCTGTCACCCTCCCGGTTTCAGCTGACAGGGCGCTGGACGCTCACTGGGCCGTAGACACCATTTGTGACGGCATGTAGGAGCTGATATCTGTAGGTGAAGGCGAGAGGAGATGAGACTGATGCCGTTCTGTTGTCTGAGAGGAAGGATACATCTCTAAGCTCTCAGAAGAAGCTGTAAGACAGGTCAGAAAAAAAGATTATTTACTTCTAAGAAATTTGTAACGACTCTTATCAGGCAAGTTTCTCCTATTATCTGTCTCTTTGGAGCATGGGGGGGTCATTAGTATTATTATCTCTAATAAATTATGATAAACAGCACCCAATTAATTCTTTTACTCTCTAAAATGATGTTTTCTGTTCACAAACTTATCACTGTTTTTTTCCCTTTGACAGACAGAAACGACATCAAACAGCTCTATCCAAAGCCTAGATTTAGCCACGTTTTAATGAACAAATCCACCTCCGGCACCAAGGAGTCTCACTCATTAACACTTCCTTTGTTGTGAAAAAAAAGGCTCAACTGAACTAACTTCCTGTCTGTTTCTTAATGAAGACATATGTGAGAGTGACAAGTCAGAAGTGTCCGGGTCAGGGCCCTGGTGAGGAGCTTGCTGCCCGGCGTGGCGTGATGGACTCTACCTGGTACAGGTGTGTGGGGCTGCAGGTGTAAAGAATCCTCCTGTAAAGGCGGGTCTGTCTCTTCTTCCGGATCTGTCGTGAGAATCTACCCAAGACGAAATTCAAAAACCAAAATTTAAAGTGGAACACTGGAGGCTTCAAACAGATGGACTAAGTAACTAAGCCGTCGGAGTCCGAACCTGTCTGACCGCTGCCAAACTGGTCAGAGTCCCCAGACTGGTGCTGTCAGTGATGACCATGGCTTGGGACAGCAAACTGGATGAATGGTACTGGGGGGAGTCCGATTTGTTGTACACTGCAACGAGGAAGGGGCGGATGAATCTGGGCTGGACGTGAGTTACCAGAGGGACGTCTGGTTGCCGCCGTGGGGCTTACTGTGACACGGCAGCTGGGCCATGGTTGCCATGAAGGGGCTGGCTGCCATGTGGCTCTGGAGCTGCTGGGATAGTGGCTGCTGGTGGGACGCGTGAAGCTGCTGCTGGAAGGAGATGGGCTGGAGGGCTGTGAAACCCCCTCCCATGTTGTTTATCACGGGGACGCTCTGCGGCTGTGCGGAGGCTAAACCTGTGAAACACCAGGAATCCACCTCACTCTCAGGAATTTATTTTCTTTAAAATTATCGAAAGGTAAAATGCATAAACCGAAAAAAGCGCGTTACCAATGAGGAGGGAGGACTCTCCCAGACTCATGACTCCAGGCACTGAGGCCATGATCAGGCTCTGTGAGGACGCAGGGGAGGCAGACAGGCTGTGCAGGGAGGTCAGAGTGCTTACTGGGGGTAGCGGGCCGCTGCTGGACACCTGCAACCAAGGAAGAGCCCCAAAACAGCTGCAAAACCTCCATTCTGCCAACCACCGAGGGACCGACACACACACACTCACCAGCTTGGGGTTATGGCTCTCCAGGAGTGTGTGGCTGGGCTCTAAGTGGACCGGGCTGACCACAAGACGCCCCCCTCTCTCCCCTGCGCCGCCTCTGGCCGAGCACACGGTATCACAAGAGATCTGCTGGCTGTACTTCACACCTAGAAACAGGAAAAATCATGTCACCGAACAATGGCACGCTGGAATTATGCTGGCTTCAACCAAAAGTCGCGTCTTCCAGAGTGTAAAGTCCAAAGATTTGGTGTCAGCAGGTCTAGCTTTGTCGCGACAGATCGTCTGCCTTCACCCTTAAACTTGTGTGTATCATATTCTAAGCTAGCATGAGAGTTTTGGAGGCATTACTGTGCTCAGGACTTGGTGGAAGTGGGGTGTTGGAGGAGGACGCCGATTGGTTGTTGAAGGGCGTGTCCAGGGCCAGCTTGTGACGGAAAGCCTCCTCTTTTCGGCGGTTGGCAAACCAGTTGTACACTCGGACTTCAGTGACCAGGTTGGAGCCCAGGCCTGCAAGCTGAGACGGAGACACCCCCCTCTGGAGACACTCGGCCCTGGAAAAGGGAGGGCACACTGATACATTACATGACATTTCAAACACAAACACCGTCTCTTTGGTGCTTGTCCACATGTGGCGTTTCCCTAAATCCAATAAAATAAGTACAGATTTTGAGTTTTAGAATTGTTTAAATTATCGTAATTTCAATAGTGCTTTTCATCCATTTTGCAGAACGTGATTTTGGTTATATCAGACCTAATTATATAGATGGTCTTGTAGATATCCCTTGAGGAAAATCAAGGATCGCGTGTTTGGAATTTAAAGAATTTATTTCTGTAAAACAGCCTTTATCCTGCAAATTTGAGACTTGTTTTGTGTCAGTTTTAGCTAAACGGACACTGCAAAGCCTCTGAATTTCCCTCCTCACCTGTTGCACTCCTCCACCAGCCCCTCTCTCTCCTCCTTGCTGGGATTCTTCTGCCTCTCGTAAGCCTGGAAGAGGATTTGGAGCGAAGCCGGGCCCCACTTGAACCTGTTTCTTCTCCCTTTCTTGACCTCCTCCCCTTGATCCTCAACAGGTGTAAGGCCATGTTTGGCATTAGTAAATTCTGCAAGAAAAAAAACATTTTTTTCCTCCTCTGTCTTTTTAAAACATGAATGTGTACAACATGTGCTTCGGTCTTCCAGGTTGGCTGGTGTACTCACGCTGGCTGATCTCACACTGCTTCTTGACGTACCAGCTGTACAGAGCAGCTCTTTTCTGGTTCTTCATGGGTGTGCCTTTGTTGAGATGCTGGGAGAGGTGGGACTGGTTGAGTCCTGTGGATTCCACCACCTCTCTCTGGGGTAAGTTGTGCTGTTGCATGTAGCTTTTCACCATTTTTGCAACGTGCCAGGGGTCCTCCCTGTTAAAAAGAGGTGGAGTACGCCTTTACTTCAGCTGCCTCGTGAAGCAGCTCGATCAGAATCAGAGTCTTGAGAAAATCCTCTGATAAACCATTCAATGCATCAAGTTAGTCTATACTTGAATATTTAGTATCAATACTTGTCCAGATTTTCAGAATTAGCGATTTTCTGTTTCGAGTTTCCATTAGAATTAAGATTTTTCGATACGTTCTTCATGAAACCACTGAAAACCTACAGTTCTCTACTTATCTTTAGAAACATTTTAAAAGTGTATGGTATGGTAATCATTCTGCCCTACGCACAATATTTCCTTTAATAATTTCCCATTATATGATTTAAATACATGTTAATTATCCTAACAACAATGAAGATGAAAATCCAAACAGTGTTTTGTTTCAGAATCCCATAAAATTACCTTCACATTCAGTTGATAAAACTATTTTTAAATTGATCCAACGTCATGTCACAACAAAGTTTTGGGTCTTTTACTGGACAGAAGTGAATCCTCTGTGATGTTTGCAGTGTTTTGGGTATATTTTTTAGCAGTTAGCTGGCTTCTAGAAAGCTGTTGAACAGGCAAAGGCTGTGACAATATTTGACTTGTATGGCCACTCAGAGGGAAGTTACAGAGGGGCTTATTGACAGAGAGAGATAAGGGAAAGCACACAGGAGCAAAGTCCAGCTCTTTCAGCTCACTGGAGGGGAAAAACGTGTGAAAGCTTCATGAGGCCTAATTTAATGCTTTGTCTCTCAGTCCGAAAGCAGTGAAAATACATAGTATTCTACAAAAATGTCCAGCTTTGACAGATGCTTATCTAAAGAAAAAATAGCTCCCTGTCATTAAAACATCTCTAATGTGAAACACTTCCTGAGTTTTAAACTATGACTTTTAACTCATGTGCGATATGAGTGTTTTAGAATGATATATTTACTAAATATTACGAATCAGGTCTAAAAATTCAGCGGAACATTGCTTAAGCGTTGAACAAACACCCTGTCGCAACAAGCCCCGCTCCATTAATCTTCACCTACCTGAATGAATGCAGCTTATTTATTAAGAAATGGCATGGGAATAATGATGGGGGTGGGTAATTAGTAACTAGCAAAGGAGGAACCCTCTTTAAATTCGCCTCAGAGACCAGACTGCAGTGAGAGAGACAGTAGAGCACATGAAGGAGGGAAGATTTGGTAAAGAGAAGACGACCATGTTTAAAAAGATAATGGATGCAGTGCTGGAGACGGGTGAACTTTTTGTTTGTGCCCTCTGAGGTGGACTTTGTTTGTTACACAGGAGACAAACAAAAGAAGAAGGAGAATAAAATGTTGTGGGACGTAGTAGTCAGCTTGAATTTACGGTGAGATCCTATTGGACAAAGAAAGTGCTGAATGGGATTAGCAGGTGTTAGGATGATGTGGCCACCACTGTGGAGCTGTGGATCTACTTACTGTAGTAGCTGGTCGACTTCAGCTCTCAGCTTGGACAATTCGTTTGGAGGAAGCTTCTCCAGCTCTCGAAATATAGGCGGCGGGAAGTCCATCTCTCCCTCCTCTGAGCTTTCTCCATCGCCCCTGTCTCTCCTCTCGCCGCTGGCACCTGCCCTGTTTTGCTCCAGTTCTCCAATGGCTTGAACCAGGACGTCCCGGGACAGTCCAGATTCCAAAAGGGCCCAGATCAGCTGCTCCTGAAGGGCCGTCAAATGTCCGGGCCTTCCTTTGGCCGCCCTGGCCCGCTCCTCGCCCTCCATTGATCTCTTGCCTTACCTTGCTACTGCCTCCCGGTCAAACGCTGCTCTCCTGTGCTCCGCCACTCTTAAATGGCTCCTAAACGGACGGCATCAGGCCTCATTATTTTCTCTGCAGTCCCTCTTTAGCTCGGGGGGAAATTACACTTTCATTTTTCTCAGTCGAATTTCCTCCCGATGTGTCCTGAGCTGCCTGGTTTTAGCTCTCCACCTGCTGTTTTGCTTTCAAAGGTCAATTTTCTTTTTTTTTAACCTTCCTCCTCTTCACCCCCTCCTCCTTACAAGCGCCCTGCGAACTTTGCCCTCACTGCCTCAGTCCCCAACAGTGACCAAAGTGCATTCTAACAGCAATAGATTCAAGCGAGAGATGTTACATTTCCAGAGGCCATAACGGATTTCTAAAAAAAAAACAGCAAACACAAGGGAAGAAACGTAAATGAGAGCCTGGGAGGAACTGAACAAGCCTTATGTGCCTTTATTTCTGGATTGATTATTAGATAGACTTTTAGGATATAAATATGCTGTCCAGTTTTCCCTCTGCTTAAAATGTATTACATGTATGTAAAACCTGAGAGAGTGTGTGATTTTAAAGGTTCATCAAAGTCCAGTTTTAGGTAAAACAGGAGCTTAAAGTACAGAGAAACGAATCAGTGGTTTCATTTGAAGTTTGTGCCAGTAGAGAGTGCTGTTGTATCAGATGAGACCTGCTCAGCCTGCAGGTAGCTCCGTATGGCTCCGGCCTCACACCCTCAGAGTTAAATCAGAGTCCTCTTTTGCGACCGACCTGGAAACGTCTTTTTATCGGATTGTGTTTTATGTTAACTGTTCAGTGTGGATAATTCATTTGTGTTCCCTGCTTGGTATGTATTTAAATATCATTCACACACATGCACTTCAGTGGTAGAAAGATTTGTACATCCTGTTTCTCAATTATAATCATCAAAATGTTAAAAAACTAAACAAAAAAACGTATATCCTTAATACTGTTTTAAGTGTAGTAAAGCTTCTGATGTACAGTAGGTGCTTCCAATGACTGTGATCACGACACCTCAAGAGTTATGGGTCCTACACAGGAGTGAGTGTGAGGGCTTACTGGATGACAGAGAGATAAGATGGACAAAATGAAGATGAGATGCAATTTTTTTTATTGTATTCTTAAATGCATTCATTTGTGCCTTTTGGAAACATTTTTATGCATCAAATTAATAAAGTGAAGCACGAAAAACAAGGTCAATATCTTTTTGTTTGTTTGTTTTGAATAATAAATTATTCTGTACATTAAAAGCAAACCACGTTGGTAATCCCCTGATACTTGTTCAGATTAGATATGAAAAATGCAATAATTATGATTAAACAGGAAGGGTACGTCACCTTTAACCACTGGTACTCTTTGTGCTTACATGCTAATATTATTGCTAATATTATTGCTTTTGAAAGCATTAAAACATTCATTACTTTGATTGAATGGAAGTGTGCGCAGGTTTGAACCTGAGCAGCTGATATTATACTCTGGATTTCTTTCATCCCTCCAGTTTGACAAGATCTTTTTTTTTAAATGTCCTTAAAGCCATGTTTTTTTTGTCAACGAAAGTTGGCTGGAATGGTAAGTTGGAAGAGAACTGAAAAGGAAAGAATGCAAAACTAAATGGGGGGAAAAACCTTTGAGAGTTAATGTGTTCCTTTATCTTTCTTCTCTCTTTTCAGTGTAAAATGCTCACTTTTCCTCCCTGGATCACCTTTTACCATTCTCATGTTCAGCCTATCAGCACCTTTTTTGTGTCAAGCTCTTGTTACCCCACCCCACCCTTGGGAAGATGGCATTATACTGTATTTGGAAGGGTAACAGTGCTCCCTCTATCTCCCTGAGACATGCCACTGACCTGTAATTAAGTCCCATTGTACTATTCAGAGGAAACTCCTCACCCAAGCGGACAGAGGGCAGTGTGTGTGGACTTCCAGCGGCTAAGATACCGCTGTGACTAATGCCCCACCACACAAGCCGGGTTTATCAAAAAGGAACACATGCAGGACACATTAGAGCTTGCAATTTCCCTCTCCAGAGAACTCAAAGCTATGTTGATTGGTAATGAGACACAATCCGCACTGTCCATCTCTCATTAGTGAGCCATTGCTAGCAGCCTCTGTGTGTGTTCTCGCTCTAACTCACTCTCTGTTCCTGCTTCAGCCTCATGTGCCCCCCCCCCACCCCCCTCCTCCAACTGCACCATTCAACCCCATTGATCATGCATGCAGAAATTTAACACACCCCTTAATTCCTGTCCAAATAGCCCCTGTCCCACTTCCAGAGCTTCATCTGTTCATCTGCAGAGAGCAGGACAGGCGGGACACACTGGCTGTGGCACTCAATGAGGATGGGCTGTGATGGAGAGGGTAATCACCAACCCAAAGCGCTGTCCGCACAGCCTCTGTTACACACTCTGAGCTCGTTGTCAATCTGAAAACTATGGGTTCACAGTGGGGGCGATGTGGCCTGTATTTCCGCTTGTATCAATGAGTGGCGGAGCGAGTACACTCCAAAGAAAAGCACAAACAGTATCCAAACTTTGCTCTTAACTCTGATTCTCATGCAGAACGGCGTGCAGTTTTACAACCACCGTAAGTCAAAGCTGTCATTGTCTTTGTTTGAATTGCTCAGGCTATTGATCGGCCTAAACATTAGTTACCGGGTCACATGTTGAGTCAGTGTTGAGAAGATTAGCTGGAGCTGGCTTTGGTACTAATTAAATACTTAAACCCCAGCAATGAATGAGCACGCAGTGCAAAAACCTCCTGGATTGCATAAGCCGGTTTGCAATATGGACGGCGCATGAAGACAGACACAAACATTTGTGATACTTTGCATTACATTACACTACAACATGTAGGTTTGTCACACAAATAACTTATTGAGTGAAGTTATTAAGTCAAGTTAATATTGATTAAGCATTTCGGATTTTAATAGACTGTTGAATCAAGTGAAATGACACAGAGGTGAAAATGATGGCTGCTGTAGAACGGTCCATTCTTAGTCCTCAGTGACATAATTTAAAAAAAGTAAAAACATCTTGTTCTAACATATAGTTATATATACATTTTCGTTTAAATCTTTCACCTGTGAAGTGTGATGCTTAAACAGTTTTAAGGACAATTCCAAACAGGTTGGGATATCATTGAAGATAAGTTCCTTTATCAGCCAATGTGCCTGATAACTCTTTAACCTGGCTGAAAACTGAATCAATGTTGGTCACAAATTGACAGGAAGTACCTAGATTTACTATTTCACAATAAGGTTTGAGCCATCTCACTTGAAAATGACAAGATTTAGTTTATAAATTCAGACTTACCTTTTTTAAATGACTGTTTTTAAAGACATAATCATAGATGGTAATTCTCAAAGCTGTCTATAATGGTTCAATGGACATCAGTACATTGGGGGGATGTTTGGGTGACATTAAAATTAACTTTAAATTCAAATTCTCTGGAATTATCTATAATCTTAGCTTCAATTAATCGCTATTTTATGGTCTTGATAGTTCTTGGGGGGAGTCTTTGTAGATAACAGTGAGCAGGAGTTGGATGGGGGAACTTTGTCTGCATGGGTTCCCTCCAGATGATCCGGCGTCCTCCCACCGCCCACAAACGTTCAAGTCAGGCTAACCGAACCCTGAATTGCTCTTCGGAGTAAACGTGAGATTGTTTGTCCTCCTGATGGACTGGCGACCTTTCCGGGGTGTACCCCGCCTTTCACCGAACGTCAGCCGGGATGAACGCATGACGGTGTGAGGAGGAGATGTTGCATGAAAACTCACCTGTTCATCACAGGCCCACAGCAAAACAAAACACAGGGATTAGAAGTGGGACCTAATTTCTGTGAACTGTTTTTTTTTTTTTTATTCAAATGACACTGATGGGTGTCTGTTTTGTTCTTCATTAGGGTTTGGTTCCCTGAGTATGATTAGATCAGGAGACTCAGAACTGTGGTCAGTGGTGTGATAGTGTCGGCATTTGATGACGTTTCACTCTTGAAAACGGTCATTTTGAGATATTAATGTTCAGGTAAGTGTACCCGAGTCTTTTTTGTCCTTTTCTAACAGAGCAACAGGTGCCCCGCTGCCCCCCCCGCCCCGTTCAGCGGCCGGCGCCAGGCTTTTGCGCTGAAAGTCCTGACCGGAAGTGAGCGGCTGCAGAGCCGCTAGCTTGGCGGCTGCTGGCGGCTGCTGGCGGCGGGATGAGAGAGGGACGGCGGAGGGGGACCGAGCGGAGGGAGGAGGAGGAGTCTGCTGCCCCAGCCTGCATCTGGCCCGCTCCCCTTTCTGTCACCCCGGGCCAAACCCGCCCAGCTCCTCTCACTCACTCTGTTTCCCCGGACTCACACACACTGACACTCACACACACTCTCATACGGCGGCAGCAGCAGAGGCAGCAGCAGGCGGACTCACACACACACACACACACGGACTCGGAATGGAGACGGAAGGGAGCCAGAGCAGCCTGACCACCGCGGACTCCCCCCACGACCCCTGGTAACGGGAACTTAACTTTGCCGTTCGAAGTTTTCTGCCGTCCGTTTTTTCGGAAAGCCCGGCTCCTCCGGGAACCACGCTCGCGCACCTCCACACACACAAACGCACACGCTAACACACACATACAGCCTCCACGCTGATGGGCCAACTTCAAAATCCGTCCTCCGCTCCAGATTTACTCTTTAAAAAAACCTCAGGAACAACTTTGTCATGGCCGTGTGAGCAAACAAACGAAATCCTCATTTGTTTACTATGTAAATGTGAATATTTCCCCTCTCTCTCTCTCTCTCTCTCTCTTTTTTTTCCACAGCAAAATGTTCATCGGTGGACTCAGCTGGCAGACGACACAAGGTAAATCTTTTTCCACCACTTGCTCTACTCAGATGTCAGAGTCTTTTAAAAACCCAGGCAGGGATTGGAAGGAGCTTCTTTTTTTTTTTCTTTTTTTTTTTTTTAAATGGACGGTTCTTAATATTTTTGTTTGCTTTATTTGAGCTGGTTTGCTTTCTCTTTTATGAATTTAGCTCATGAATGAATGCCCCCATTCAGAGCTTCCATCAGCTAACCCAGTGACTCATAAGAGCTCATTCAAAGTGTCATAAGAAATGGAGATTTGAAAACACATGGGGGGTTTTCAATGCAAATATTTTATATAGACACACACACTCTCAGAATATATGAATATATGTGTGTACGTGATTAAAAAAAAAAAAGGAACTGATCACTTTTTATCTAATGTCAGCCTCTTTTGATGAAAACTAAACATGGGAACTTTGGTCAGGGAAACCTTTGCCTTCACAAAGTTTGTATCCTTCTCTTGCTTCTGCCACGTGAACGAGTTTTCCCTTTGTCTGGTTTTGTTTCCCAGAGGGTCTGAAGGAGTACTTCTGCAAGTACGGCGAGGTGAAAGAGTGTATGGTGATGCGAGATCCGGTTACCAAGCGCTCGAGGTGAGGCGGCCGACTTCTGTTGCCGGAGGAAAGTTTATCTGTCCTCCGCGAATCCCTTCCGCCCGTAATGTGTCGTTACACATGAACATGGGCTCCCGTGTGGGTAATGCCTTCTCCCCTGGTGTCTGCAGAGGGTTCGGATTCGTCACCTTTGTTGATCAGGCCGGCGTGGATAAAGTTTTGGCCCAAACCAGGCATGAGTTGGACTCGAAAACAGTGAGTTCTCTGTGTTTATTTCCCACCACTGGCTAATCCCATTGCTCAGTGTTTGATTAGTGGATTTCCCAATAATCCGCTAGAGAGGTGTAACATTGCTACATTTTTTGGTGTGTGTGCTGAGGTTTCCACTGGGCTGATGCTTTTCCAGCTCCGTGTCTTTAATGCACATCGCGGCCTCATGTCTGCGTCTGCTGCCGCATGTCAGATTCGAGCACTTATCGTGACAAAGTCAGAAGTCGACACATGGGAGAAAATGCTCTCTCATCTCTCCTCTGCCAGACAAGGCAAGAAAATGTCACCCAGTGTCAATTTCCATAGAAACAAGGGGAACAGGACAGGGTTGCATTCACTGCCAATCTTTGATTTGGCCTCTCAGAGGAGGGAACTAAGAGTGCTTTTTTCCCTCCCTTGTCCCCATGGGGTAGATTTGACCTAAAAAAAAAGAAAAAAGTTCCTCAATTGAGCAAGTGAAGGCAACCTGAAACCATCGAGGTGTAAAAGCAGCGACCATCAAACTCCTGCGAGCTTCCCGTTGATTTCAGAGAAAACAAAAGTGCGAGTCTTGTGATGATAAAGTCAGCGGGGCACGTTCGGGGCCTTTCACCTGCCTGAATTGCGAGTTAAAATGTATTAATGGCCTGTGAGCGCGCGGCTGTGTGTGCGTGCGTGCGTGTGTGTGTGTCTTTTTGTCGGTAATGAATGTGGGCTGGTCTGGGAACAATGTGGCCCGTTGGTCGCCATAGGGACAGCGGCCCCCGCCTCTCTCCTCGGAGGGAGTGGTGGTGGCTGCGGGTTAGTCTCTGTATTGAAATGAGGGGAAGCTGATTTCTTTCTGTCCTCTTTTGTGCTCCCATCCAATCACCTCTGCGACTACTTTTGGGAGATGAGTTTGGAAAAAGTGCGATGGAGGGAAAAAATTAGACAGGTGGAAAAAAGTAAGAAGAAAAAAAAGGAAGCGAGCAGCTGGCGTGACGACAGCCTGAAAGTTGGCGAAGGAGGAAAGTTGTTTGATAACGAAGCTGGAGTGATTTTTTTAGCGTTTCCCGGCTTCCCCGCCACTCGGCTGCCATAGTGTCACTTGCAGGCATGTCAGCTATGACAAGTAGCTCCATCATGGTTGGACGCCACTAACTCACCATGGGGTTGGTTGCCATAGTGACCCCCTCTCCACCCCCCACCCCCCCCTTTACTCTCCACTTGAAGAATGGCTCTGTCACAAAAGAAAAAGATAACAATGCACTTCAGGTCCGATGGTTTCTCGGGTACCGGGACTCAGGACGGCGTCGGCCTGAAACCCGGAGGCCGCGTGGCTGACCGTTTATCCCCCTGCCGCCTGCTCAGCTCAGTTAGACGATCATTCAGAGTTTTTTCATCGCCCAAACTTGCCTCTGCTGGGGCTCGGGGGGCTGGGTCCGGGCCGGGTCGGTGGGGTTTGACTCGGCCAGCGTGTGTGCTTGGCGTGGAGCGGGTTGAGCAGGCAGCAGCAGCAGGGGCTGGCCGGTGAGTAGAGTGGGCCTTTTTCTAGAGGCGCTCACCCTGCCCCCTCCGCTCCTCCTTCTCTCCCATGCAGGCAGGTTATCCTGTTAGAGAGAAAAGTTCTCCAGTGGCAACAGAAAAGAATGTGCCATGCTGTGAGCGGCTGAAGCGCCGCGGCGCTGGAATTAGCCGAGCTCCACGCCACCGGGGCCAAAGAGCAAATACAGTACTGCGGAGGAATTTATTGCCACTTATTGTGTTTAAGGGCAGACGTGGTCCAGTTTTGACCAGTACGGAGCGTCAGGTTTTTCTGGGATTTGCTTCACGGGTGCCTGCAGCCACTGGCAAAGTGAAGGGACAGAGACAAAGTTCTCCCTCCTTAACACCAGGCACGTGTTGTGAACCCCTCGACTGTTTCCGAGCTAAGTGGGGGGAGAAAAGTGCTTCTTGTTGGAAGGGGGGTGGGGGTTGGAGGCGCAGGATAACCTCATCTGCGATTACTATGGCTCTCCTAACTAATAGGATTGGAGTCGTCAAGCCTCAGTTGTTCCTTGGAGATGCCGAGCGCCGCCCAATCGGCAGGTTGCGTCCAGAGCATTCCCAGGTCAGCCGGTGACGGGCAGCGCGCTCAGCCAACTGTTGCATAGCTGGGATGGAGCTGGTCAAAAGGGGATTGCCCTGATTCCACAAAGCTCTGGTGGAATTATGCTCAGCCTCTTCGCCGTTATCCCGCCCCGGGCGCAGGCCCCGGCCTGGGCCCTCTCTGGTCAGCACCTCCGAGGCCTCAGAGTGTAATCACAGGCCGGTGTGCCGGTCAAAGTATTCACGGTGTTCATTTAATGTGCAAATGTAAACTCAGATTTTAGGTAAGTACAAAAGGCGGGGTGAAAGTAAAAATCAGCCTTTCCATACAAGAGCCCAAACAGTTCCAAGTGTCTCCTCCATTTGACTCTGCTCAGCGCTGTGTCCCACCAAACGATTCTTTCATGCGGCGCCTACATCTGTTTAATGTGTGTGTGTCTGTTTGTTTTTGAATGTGCACAGGAGTGTTGGACATCAGGAGGGTTGGTGACCGGAGGTGACTATCAGACTAGTCTAGCCACCATAGAGACTAAACAGTAGAGTCTGCATCTGATCCTAAAGTGTTAGCCTATTAGTCTTCTCACTCTGCTCTCTAGAACAGAAGCAAGAAATAAAAGATAGAAAAATTAAAAGAATAAAAAAAAACTGAAGAAAATTAGTCGATACAAACTTGCGGTGATGTCAACTCTTGTTAGAAACAACTCTGTTGCCCTGACTCTGGTAAACGCATGCGGTTTACCATAGAGGCTCTAGCTCTCTAATGTAGTTCAACTCTTCCCTCTCATGGTTGCGGACTAATCATAGCGCTGTACTGTCTCACCATCTGTTAGTGTAACAGCAGTACAGTGTTGGTGTAGTCTAGTTGTTCTCTAGCTCTATTAGACCAGCATAGACTAATATAGAGGTCTCAAATTCCAATTTTACAGCCTGTCTATGATTGCATCCTCATGGCATGGTGTGGTTCTCTTTCCAATCCTCTCCAGTTTTGCTGTCTATTTTCAGTTGTGTCGTTCAAATTGACTTGTGAAGAATTATTCTGGTAAGAAACGGCCAAGTTTGCCCCTCTTTCCCGGAGGTAAACGTGTAAGGAACGGCAGGGCCGAGGAGGATCGGGATCCCCCTGAAAGCGCGCAGGATGATGAATGGTCCCCGTTGTTGTCACCGCTCCCGTCAAAAATGTAGCCGTGACAGGCAAAAGCAAACAAACGCAAACAAACAGAAGCGTGTCGCTCTGCAGACGGCGCGGCGTAACTGACAGCTCCTGTCCTCCCCCCCCCCCCCCCCCCCCCCTCTCTCTCTGACCCACTCCCGGCTCTCCTGGCCGGGCAGTTGAGGTGCGTTTGTGATTGTGGTGCCCGTGTGAGATTCCAGGAGATCACATGTCGCACGCGGGTGACGAGAGAGGCCGGGGTCCACTAGATGTTCCCAGGCATTCCGCCTGAGCGCACACACACACACACACACACACATGCACATTTACCCGCAAAATACGTCAGGAGCGCGTTTGTGTACGTCCAAAAAGGTAAAGACGTGTGGAGTAAAAAGGTACACTCACATGTCCTGATGGGTCTGACTCCTGAATGCAGAACAGCCCCTTAACTGCTCGTTTTGCATTCACATCATTTGGACTGTTTATTAGATTAGTCAAGTCATTTAATGGGAGTAAAAGTTAAATATTCATTGATGCTGGCTTGAGGGTTTGTGCGTTTGGTTATTTAGTTATTTTTTCACAACAGTTTTTTTTTACAACTTTTTAACTTAATATGATAACAAATTGGGACTAATAATTTAATGTTAGCCACAAGCGTTGAATAAAAGCCTAGCAAATGGGGAGTTTTTAGTTTTTAGCAGTATAAAGCACACATACTGTACACACACATGTGAACACAACACATTCAGGAGGGTTCAAATGCTGCAGGTCAAAGTTCACAGTCAGATCCTGGTGGGCCACTCTGAGAATTTACTACTATCTTTTGATCTCACAGTGGGCGACACACTATGGGAAAAGCCACTGTTTCTTTCATGCTCTGGTTCGTTCTGAGACTGTGGGCCACTTTGCTGTCCTGAAAAGAGAACGTCCACGAAACACTGCTTTTTAGAAAATTGGTGATTTATTCCATCACAAAGATTGATTCGACATTATCCAGAGTTTTATGTTTCAGCTGTTTAACTCACAAATGGTGATTTCCATTCAAATAAAAAGTCATTCAACATGTTTGCACCTTTAAAAGCTTAATGAGTTTTCTTCTCTTTTTTAGGACTTATGTAGAATATCAAATTATCCCTGTCTATATTTAGATTCAGGCTTTAATAAATGTCTCTTTCGATTACAAACCATCGCCTAATTAATAGAACATTTCTTTTACAACCTTTTTTTTGTCTTAATTAATGGGCAATGAAATGAAAATAAAAAACTTTCCCCAAAAACTTTAGACTCTAACACGTCAACAGAGTACAAGTGCATTATTGAGTCTGATTTGAACCAATATTAAGATTTATCCTACTCATTTCCTCATTAAAATCTCATTAAAGCCACACAACAATTTCTCTGTTCAAAACATTCTTTATTCTGCATAACGATTTCTTTTGTCGGCATGAAAAAAAAATAACGAGGGAGGCGTCTTGATGACAGGATTCATTCACGTGTTGTGTCTTTCTTTTCATAAAGTGAGTTAGTATTAGGGAATTCTGCACATGTGTGGTCTTTTTTATAAGTTTAAAAATGTGCATTTGTGTCATAACGTCTGAAAACCTACACAGGTGAATAGATGTGTGAGGTCCAGGGAATGTCAGGGATGCTGTAGTTTGTGCCACATCACATCACTAACCACTGAAACTCTGGTGTCAGAGTGAGATTTTATTTATGGAGTGGCTTAAAGTCGACTAAATCAGAGCACATCACCAACCCTTCCTCTCGTTTCTTGTGTCCTCTCTTGTAGATTGATCCAAAGGTTGCGTTCCCTCGAAGAGCTCAGCCCAAGGTGAGTTTGAACCGCCTGCTGGTGGTTGTGTGCCGTTTGCAGCGGGTTGGAGTGTGTGTGTGTGTGTGTGTGTGTGTGTTGAGTGTTTCAGTCTCTTATCTTAGCTAATGCTTTGTAATCTGACGATTAGCACTGCTGACATCACCGAATCGCAATTTCACCTTCACAATTCGAGTTTGAGATTTGATCAGAGAAAATTGGTTTTGGAAAACTGACTCCCCCCCCAAAACTGTAAAATCTCACTTTCACCTTTGCTGATGGAACATTCAGAAAGATAGAAAATTGACTGAATTGCAGCTCATAGTTAAAAAACAACACAAACAATGATTTTAATGATTAACAACTAGGATTTGGAGACTGATTATAGCATTGAAGCATTTGAAATTGCCTTACATTGCAAAAGATATACCATAAATTAGCCAAATGGATCTTTGCATCTCAAATTCAGCTGACTAAGAGGTCTGCACAACATCGACGTGGTCTACAATACACCATCATTTAGAAATCAATAGGTTGTTTTAAGAAAGGGGGAACATTGTACTAAAGTCTGTGGCACGGTGAGTCACAGGAGTTTCAGAGGGACAGATGTGGACGCTCACCGGGGGAAACACGACAGCAACACACAGGATAAAACTAGAGATGAAAGACTTTTAGAACCCCTGTGCAGCAAAGTTTAAGTGAAGCTTTCCCGAATTCTGGCTGTAGATTGAGAACGTACAAAAACTGAACATTACATAAGAGTTATGTGTCAAAGGAAAATGCCAATTCAAATAAATTGATACATTTGTAACTGTATTGTTTTCTCGACTGTGGCTGACCAAAAGTACCTCCCTGTGTTTGATTGGATTGATCTAGTTGAAGATATCTGACCAATGTGACATTTGCATAAATGGGTTGTTTTGATTTAAAATGGAAATTAATATATTTGAAATCTGTGGCAGTGTGTCAGAAAGCTGTGTCTAAAAAGGGGGAGGTTTCCATCTCTGAATTGGGCTTTGAACTGAAATAAAAGAGCAGTTTTATTGTCACATGTCCTGAAATGTTGGGTTCTACTGTTTGGGCTCAGTTTTCTTCCAACCCCAAAGAAGCTGAAGCTTCCTGCTGTCGTACCGACTCGGAGAGGCTTCAGTGGGAGTTTAAAAACCCCCCTTTGAAATCAGAGAGAAAAAAGGGTTTATATTGGAGGATGTGTCATAAACTCTTTAAATTTCAAAGATGTAAATTGAGCTTGCATTTCTAATGAACTTGTTTCATGGGGGCCTATGCTTTTCCTCCAGCTGGTGACTCGAACCAAGAAGATCTTTGTGGGCGGCCTGTCAGTGAACACAACCATCGAGGACGTCAAGCAATACTTTGACCAGTTTGGGAAGGTGAGTGATGCTTAGAGGAGCCGTAAAGCCGGCGCGACGGGCGGTTTGTAGAGAAAAATGTGTGGGTAAAGAAACAACGAGTGGGCTGGAAATGAAGAGAGAGAAGAAAGAGTGCTTTTCAGCTCCGATGGAGTTCGGAGCAACAAAAATCGGCAGCCCAGAAACCCACATCCCACCGACTCTGATTCACCAGCGACTCCCTGAGAAAAACCTCACTTAGAGCCGAGCGGGCGCCTGGAGATGAAGGAGTTACTGCGAGGAAGAGGAGGAGGGCGAGAAAGGAAGGAGAAAAGAGGGGCTGGGGGGGAGAGTAAGAGGAGGAAAAATAACGAGGCTGTGAGGCTCCGGGAGCGGCAGGGCAAACTTTGGGGGACTGGGAGAGGGAGAGGGGGGGAGAGGGGGGGTGGGAGGTGGAGGAGGGGGCAAAAAAGTTTTGTACTGAGTATGTGGTGATGGTGAGGAAGGAGGAGGGATTATCAGAATCTGAATTAATCTGATGTAACAGCTGCTACTACCCACAACCCCCTCCTGGCCCGTTACCGTGGTGACCTGGCTTGCCCATTGTCCCCAAGTAATTCTGTGGGCAAGGGGTTTTTGTTCTGAAGGAGGAGGGATGAGGTGGTGTTCGGGGGGTGTTTGAATAAGTGCGTCGGGTGGGGGTCAAATCATGAGTTTGTAACAATAAACACAAGCCGAATGATTCTCGATAGCCAGCAAACTTTTCCCAGAATTCCCACAGGTGTTTGTGATTTTTCTTTTTTAAACCGTCTTCTTATTAAACTTTCTAGAAGTTTCTCATATATAATTTATGAGACTGTTTAAGGCTTGGGGCAGAGAATAGATGATGGGCTGACAAAGGCGCTGGCTGGGGAGGGAGGGCCCTACTTGTGGAGGCGTAGGAGAGGGAACTGGGGCAAGGATGGGGTGCGTGTGTGTGTTTGGAGGGGGTAACGAGGGTCATTATGCCTCTGTGCAAAGCTGGGCAAATATTTTCTTAGTTTGTGCAGAAGTTACCAGCATGCTGGATGTTTCTGGGCTTTTCCCGTCAGCTATGGAAAATGGTTAAAGGAGTCGGTTTCGGGGAGACGACTGAAACAAATAAAAGTTTTCAGCAGGGCTTCCTTTGAAACTTTTGAAAGTCCAAGACACAAAGACGGCTTTTTAGCCGCCGCGTTTCCGATTTTTTTTTAGAGACGCCAACTCTGGCCTCCAGGTTCCGGGCGCTCCCTCCTCAATCATAACCACTAGATGAATTTTTGCCGAGAGAGATATCGAGGGATGGACAGTGAAATGTAGGCTGCAGCCATCCATGGAAGTTCCTGATTAGACTGCCTCACTGGACCTTTTGTGTCCCGTCCTGGTGAGGACAAAGGAGCGCGGAGAGGGATGGGCAGCGGATAACAGGGAAGATGAGAGGTGGGGAGGGGGAAAAAATGGATGAGAGGGAATATCGTTTGGCAGTGCACCGCTGAAAAATGCCTCGTGTTTGCGATATTGACCAGTGATGTGCGACCGGCTCTGTTTGTGGTGTTTGTGGCTGCGTGCGGGCTTTTTGTACAGGATTCTGCGGTGGCCCTGTTAGATCCCGGCCCTCTTTACCGAATCAAAGTCGCTCTCCCGGAGCATCAAATCTTCTAAATAATTATTTTCATGGGATCTTCCTCTGCTGTTGTAAAAAAGCTATTTTCAGACGGTTAAAGTTTCATTCAGAGATCGACTGTCGGACTCGAAACAAACAGAGACTCGACAGGCGGACTAAAAGTCCCCTTTCACACTGACACTCTTTGCTCACCTTTGACCTTTCTGTGGGCAAAATGCCCTTAGGGGATCACACACATGCACATATCACTAACGTTCGTATCTGACCATGACAGATTATTCTGTGGAACTTATCCAGTAAACTTATTATAGACCGGGAGGACAGATGATTTGACCAAATGTTTACGAGGACCTCTGTACCAACACCGGGGAGCAAACATATCAGCAAACACGTGACAATAGAAAGAAGTGGGGGAAAAAAAAAATCAGAAAACAACAGTGGGTCAACTTTTACATAAGAAACTCAGCGTGTGTGTCTGTGTGTGTGTGTTTGTGTGTGTGTCTGCATTGAATAGACACCTGTGTCTTTGCTCCATAAAGGGAGGCTGGGCTGGAGGGAGAGGTCAAAGGGAGAAGAGGAGGAGGAATTATGGCTGACTGTGCCAACAAACAAAGCCTCTAGGCCTCTTTGTTCTCCCGCTCTCTTTGTCTCTGCTTTTTCTTCCCTTTCCACTTTGACCCAATCTTTCTCCCTCTTCCAGGACTCTCTGTACTCTCTTTCACCATATCTCCACCTGTCGCTATTCCTCTCACTATCAGCTCTCCCCTCTCATCGAGTCTCCACCTGCCCACTGGATTCACCTTTCCGCTTATGACTGGGTGCTTGTTTGTGTCAGCGTTTTCTGTCTTCTTGGCCCCTTTTTGTCTCACTGGCACTCTCCCACCATTCATGAAAGCAGATTCAACGTCACCCAGAGTTCATTTTCATTTTTTTCCGAACACTTTTTATACGGTCGCCATGGGGATGTCAAACTTTGGACGGGGGGGAAAAGGGGCAGATCGCGGGCTCTCTGTGAGAGTACGGCGGGCGCCGTTCAGCTGTGGCGTCCGTTTGCTGTGTACAGCAGCAGAGCTTGTTTTTTTTGTTTTTTTACAGTTTTCAACATATTTCCCTGCCTTTGCCCCCCTTGGCCTCCTCTTTGTAACCTGTCGCTCGCCTCCACCCCTCCACTCCCCACCCCCCCCCCCCCCCATCTCCTCCCTCCTCTCTGTCCATCTGTTGCTGAGCCTCCCTGCAGAACTTGAGAAGGGCTGAGGTCAGGCAATATGCCGCATGGCAAGACGGAGCGCCGCGCTAAAGCCCGTGTTGTTTGTCTCCCCTCAGGTGGACGATGCCATGCTCATGTTCGACAAGACCACGAACAGACACAGAGGTGAGGTGGCCTGACCCCGCTCCCCGTGGAAGTGTGTTGCCCACGTCCCCCTCTCATCCTCGATTTACTCTTCTTCCTCCAGTCCTCCCTGGGTTTTTCTATTGATTGCCCTCCACCCCCCACATGGGTCTCCTTCCTGTGGGCTGAACGGGGCTAGTCTAATTAGCCAGTCCGTTAATCGGGATCAGGATAAAGCCTCCTTAAGCACCTCCTCCCCACCCTGGGATTGATCGATTATGACAGCCTACCAGCTTTGCCCAGTCCTTCTGGCCAGGAAGGAGCGTGGGGGGGGGGGGGGGGGGGGGATGAGTGCAGAATAGCAGCCTTGAAATGGGGGGAGGGGGGCAAATTTGTTAAGCTGCTATTACAGCACTAATTACTGACAGACTATTAGCTCTACTACTGTACAAGTAGATCTGGTGTCTAATTCTGCCGTGCTGAGGGGATTTTTTTTTTTTTAACCATCAGGGTTCGGCTTTGTGACGTTCGAGAATGAGGACGTGGTGGAAAAAGTCTGCGAGATCCACTTCCACGAGATCAACAACAAAATGGTAAGCAGCTCGGGATGTGAACTTTTGCCCATAAAAAAACAAAAAAGATGAAAAATCGGGGGGTGCCTACTTGTGCCGCGTCCCCAAACAGGTGGAGTGTAAGAAGGCTCAGCCCAAGGAGGTGATGTCCCCCACGGGCTCGGCCAGAGGGCGCTCTCGGGTGATGCCCTATGGGATGGACGCCTTCATGCTGGGCATTGGTATGCTGGGTAAGTTGGTATTGATCAAGATGGAAAGGATGTGGCCTCACATCTGAACCTGCCAGTTCTACTACTAAATCAAATGTCACAATGTGGCTCATGGGGAGGGCGCTGACCACCAGTATGCACGACAGGCGCCAGCTTCAGATTCCTACCACTAATAAAACTAGCTCATTACATCCCATTAATGAATTTCACAAACCTCCCCCTAAACATCTTCAAACTGCTGAAGTTGGATTCAAATTCCACATTATGTTTGTGTCATTTTTGCATTCAAGCCAGGTTCAAATAGACATATCAAATAGACAGCAATTTATTTGTCTTAAATTAAGAATCACAAGAGAAAAGAAAGGATATATGTATCCTGTTTTTCGTGTTGTTGGGACCCAGAATTGCTGAGAAATCCATATTGCAAAATAAAACTCAAAGGCCCTGTTGTGTTCTTGTCACAGCTTTCTCTTTCTGGAGGTTAACCTGAGATGACTCTTTAGGATGTTGTCATGACATCATCGGTGCTATTTTTAAAATAGATTTCAAGATCCCTGCTGAACCAAAGAAGACATTCGATGCTTGTTTTCTCTGGTAGTTTGCAGGTTTTAAAGCAGCGGGACGTCTCTTCAACTCATCGACAAAACGAGCACACCCCATCCAACGCCTGCTTTCTTATAGATTTCTTTTGTACTGACAGTAGTTATGGAGCGCGAAACTTGCCACACCAGTGCTACCACCTACTGTCCACTCCGAGAACTACTTTCTTTACTACTTTAGTTCTTTAATTAGTGTGTGCGGATGGGGGGAAATGCAGCCACGCGGAGGAGAAAGATCAGAATCAGTGTTCGTGCTAACTTGCGGTTTAGTCGTGGATAATATCGGTACCCCCCCCCCCCCCCACACAAAAACTCCAACTCGGTTCCTCAAGTATCAGGTTGCATAATGAGAAAATCTTTGTGTTATGTTTACTGCTGAGGGTGAAACTGAAGACAAAAAAACCGTAAGCCGCTCAATCCTGGCCTTGAAGAAATCCCGATAAGGCGTGTAGAATATCATCCACCTGCAAGCTGCAAAGTATCAGCGTTAGAGTATCAACCTAGACCCACGTTTCTCCATTTGAAATCGTGTAGTCACCACCACTGTTGTGTGTTGTTGCTGGATTCAGAAGCGGTCCTGATTTTTTTATGCTTACTTTCTCCCCAAAGGCTACCCAGGCTTCCAGACTGCCACTTACACCAGTCGGAGCTATGCAGGCATCACTCCTGGATACACCTACCAGTTCCCTGGTAATCAAATCACACTCACACAGTTCCTTTAAAAAACACCTAACCAGTGAAACACCAGTTAAAAGCACATTTTTAAGAGGTTTTTTTTTTGCATTACAGCAGTGAAACACTGTTAGTATTACAGTTCTTGCCTCTCTTGAAAATGACTAATTTAACACCATCAGCAGAGTGAGACAAGCTGCTTGTTCTTTAGTTAAATTATCTGACATGACTTTCAGCAGCGCACACCTACAGCTTTGTGTGGGTGAGGAAATTATATGGAAAATGTCCTATCATTTGTACAAAATAACATGCTTGAGGGGAAGAATTGTTATGTGGTGAGCAATGGATGTCTAAAGATATATTAAATCAAAGAGAAGTGGAAAATGCAAAGATTTCCTACACCAGTAACAAAAGGACGTGCATCGTGGTAATTCCATTAAGAATTAAACAAAAGATGGACTTTAAAACGGAAGCGGTTTTATGTGGAAGCGGCAGAAGACACACTGTTGCAAATACAAACATGTTTCCATCGATGCCAATGAAACACTCTGAATGGAAATAGCTGCTTGTAAATATCAGGGAGTGGATTTGCTTAGCTCTTGTGTATGAGTGTGTGTGTTTGTGTGTGTGTATGTATGCACGCTAGCTTTGCTCTAGTTCTGAGAACTGTGTGAAGCTGAGCTGTGAAACAATCCCAAACTGAAAATGCAACTCTTGATATCTAAACATGAAATTACCTCTTAGAATTGAACTCAGCAGTATTACATTGCAATTTTGTAACGTTTTCTTCATTTCTTGCTATTTCAGAATGATAACTGGGACTATTTTTACTCTACTTTTTGAACTGTGAAGCATCTTTCCATCCTTTTGCCTCCTGTTTGCATTCCCCGTGCCCCGTGTGTTTCCCTCCCCGGCCTCCGAGGCGTGTCCCTCCTCCTGAAACTGTGTGTGTGTGCTGTCCTTGCCGGTGGCGGCGGTGTGTGTCTCAACAGCACTCTGATGTTTCTGTTTTAGAGTTCCACTTAGAGAGGACTCCCCTTCTGACTTCACCCCACCCCCCTGAGCTCACAGGTCAGTCAGTCCCTCCTCTGGACTTTACAAGCAGCATGCTGTCAGTCTGCTACACCACACATTAGCACCAGAGCCTCATCACTCCGGTTTGCATGTTTGTGTTTGGCAATACTCCTCGGTTTCTGTCTGAAGGCAGGATTGGTGACAGTAATGGGGAAGGTTGTTATTGTTTCAAAGACTATCTCTGTAATATGATAACAACAAACCTCTTGCATGATGCACTATGCGATCTTGTAAATGACTCATTTAACTCTGCTTTAACTCTGTATATTTGCTGCTGTATCTTTTCAGCCATTCCTCTTACAGCCTATGGACCAATGGCGGCGGCTGCAGCGGCGGCAGCCGTAGTCCGAGGTATGGAATTAAACAAAAGGCAAATCTTAGATCAGATTTTTATTGAATGTGGGGCATTTTCTTATTGTCTTAAAACATAATGGAAGCGTGTATGAAATTGTTTATCATTTCAAATGCGATAGTAAATTGAAATCTTTCCAATGACAAAAGAAAATGGAAAAAATGGTAAATATTATTCAGTACTAAAGCGGTCGATCACCTGATTCGTCATTTCCAGCCCCTGAGCATTGCTCCTAGGCTGGCCAAAAGAGATTCACATGAGATAGAGGGGAAATTCATGCTGGAGAAATTGCTTTAAATCCTTAAAGATTAGGAAATTTCCATTTTAATTCGCTTCTTTCTTCATTAATCTGGTCAGCGCTCTTTTGCCTGTTACTCAAAAGCAGCTGTGGTTTAGACTGCGGGAAGTCATTTGGTTCTCTTTTTTTCTTTTTCTTTGGGAGGAGCTCTGTAGCATTTTTAAGTGAAGTTACCTCCGTTTCCAGAAGTCTAATCAAGCGTCTTTATTCTGCCGCCAGGCTCCACCCCTTCTCGCTCCGCTGGGTTTCTAGGTACGAGCAGCCCAGGTCCGATGGCGGACATTTACGGAACAGCGAGCCAGGAGTCGGCTGTCAGCAGTTACCTCAGTGCTGCCAGCCCTGCCCCGAGCACCGGATTCAGCCATAGTCTCGGGGTGAGTCGGTGGCACTGTCGATGTTTGAATTCAGCCTGGATTTTCCATAGATTGTCCACACACTCCAACATGTCCATCAATCATAAGGCACCCGTCAACTGGTCAGTTTAGCTGAAGTCAAAAAGAGTAAGACAGAGTCTGGCAGATCTACTCCAGCACTGGACTGAGCTTAATTGATTATTAGTTTTATAAATGAAGTCTGATTAAAACGAGGGCTGTTTTACCTCTGGATACACACACCAGAGTTTCCATCTTTTCTTAACGCAGTAAAAAGCAGCGCTAATTTATTTATGCTTCTCCTGCTGATGTCAAATAGTATAAGAAATAAGAAATGCAACAGAAAACCAGTCCATCGTGACGGTGTGGCAGCTCAAGCTAAAACAATCCTCAGTGAAATCCTGATTTTGTAACCACGACATCATCAGACAAAAAGCCCTACTGCAGTGACCTAGCCAAAGGGGCTGCGCAGTGATTCAGCCCAGCGTGCTGATAATCGTTGATTTAAAACTTGGAAAGTCGCTTCATTTATTCCTTTGTGGCAAAACACCCTCATGACAGCACACACATCTCACCCGAAATTTGACTTTTTTGGGTGAATCTTTAGTGCTCACAGAGTCTAAACGCCAGCTCCACAGATCGCGGTATAAAAGCATGTGATGACAACTTGTTATGTTTGCAGTGAGTTGGCTTCCCTTTTCAGCCCTGCAGGTCACTGCTCAAAAGAGTAAACGTTGCTCTTCAGCTGTAGCCTTCATTCAGAGCTGATCTAACCCTCTGCTGGCGAATGGACTGACACGAGTGACACTGAGCTGACTCTCCAACCTTTTAGGAGAGCAAGTCGCTGCCTTTACCGTGCACGTCAAAGCCACTCTGCAAAGGAGAGTCATCAACAATGACTTTTCTAGTTTTCTTCCTTTTTTAATCAAATTTGGAACTTTTTCTAAATACTTAGCTGTTTTTTCCTGGTGACTTCGGTACTCAAATATCACATTTTCAAACGCTGTGTCCCGTTTGTTTTTCCTTCCACTTTAAGTTAGACAACAAGTTTGATAGGCTAAACAGAAATTAATTTGATTTAGGATTGTTGAGCTGTTCTCTTTCGAATGTTTCCTAAAGAAAGATGGAGAAGGAGCAGCGGGTTCACAACTGACAGAATTTAGTGGTGTGTTTTGTCTAACGGGAAACTTAAACCCTGCATGCTTGCTTTCACAGGGCCCTTTGATTGCCACGGCCTTCACTAACGGCTATCACTGAGAGTGTGAGTCAGTCCTCGTGCTTGTTGTCATTTTTTTAAAAAGCGTAACACCTTTGTGTCCCACCGGACCCCCCCGAGTAACCCGGCTGCTGTGTGTGTCAGTGCAGAGCTGCAGACTGAGAGCTGGAAGGAGTTGAAGCTGCAGTGGAGCTGATCCGGCCTGGCTCTGTCCAGAGGGGGGCTGAACCCTCACCCCCACTGACACCTCGCTAAACTGCACCTCAACGGCATTAAGCATTTTCAAAAAAACAGAAGGAAAAAAAAGGTTGCAAAAGGAGCTGGATAAAAGAAAAAAAAAAGAAAAAGCTTTTCTCTACAGAAAATAGCAAAACCTTCAAATGCTGTCATTGTTTTTGGGTTGTGTTTTTATGTTTCTGATTTAATTTTTTTTGTTGTTTTTTTTTTGTGACGGCCATTTTATGTCGGCCTCTGTTTTAGGTCTCTGTTTTATTTGGTTATTTGACCTCTCTAACCCCATCTCTCTGATATGAGAGAAGTGATGCCCGTTTGAACATCTGGAACTGTAAAGTGACTGGAAAGCTGTATATTTGTCTCTACTTCATACTGAATTTTAACACCTTGGATTAATACTATTTCTTGAAAATATGCCACAAACTGTATCTCTTTGTGGGTATTAACAATAATTTGTTACACTAATAATGGTCAGACGACAAATGTCTTTAGTCACAGTTACATGATTGTCCTTCAGCTGTACTATTTTTTGTAATATATTGTACATATGAGTGGTTTTTGGTGGCAGGGCTCTGCTGGTTTCTGTCTGGGAGGTTTTTCGAGATGTGGTACGATTGATTATGTCGTCAATCCATTTGTGTTGGAAAGCTTGACTGTTACGTCGAATAGTCCCACTCGGAGGTCAACAATATTTCACTTTGTCTGTCTATGTTAGACCAGCCGTACACTGTATTTCTCTCCAGACTTTTTTTTCTAAATCACCTGTCACGTGCGTCTTTTTCCGACAGTCAGAAACTTCCCTCGGAGTCGGAAGTCTTTAGGTTCAGCGAGAGAGGATGAGTCGGTAACAAACATGTAAAACTGTTAGTGGGTCTGTGTGAGTGTTTTCACACGCGGGTGTGAAAGCACGCGTCCGTCTGGAGAGGGGAAAAAGACGCTGTTTTTTCTTACTTTATCATTTTGTTGTTTGAGCTGATTTTCAATTTGTGACGATGTTAGGTGATTTGTGGTGAGGGGCGATGAAGGACGGGCGTGCAGGTTGTGTTGACGTTTGAGTGAGCATGTCATGTGCTTTTATACACATTGGCTTCCAATGTGCCATGTGCTGTGTTTTTTGAGGTTTTTAATTCCTCAGTTTCAAAATGTGAACTATTAATCGCCCTTTTGTTTTTTTTATGAAATTAACACCTACGTTCAAAGTGTGGATGGTTGAACCTCTTGGCACAGGCGGTCCTCCAGCAGGGGTCCGCTTCAACCCCATCCATCACTGCATATCCACTGGAGGTCACCAACCGTAGCAAAGTGACACCTTTATTTCTCTTCTCTTTAGACCAAAATGAAAGCTACTAGAATGTTGCACTGGTCGATCACAGTAAATGTATTTTCCTGAAAATGTTAGCTGAAGAACAAAGCACTCTGTATCTACGAAAACACCAGGTTTTACATTTTGATACACGCACTCTCACCGCTGAGGGTATTTCAGACTTTGATGCTGATTTCACTGAAAAATAACAATCCTCTCAACACTGTAACATTTTTTCCGATTTATTATTTTTTTCTGTCATGTTATTCCTACAGGGAAAAAAAAAAACTTTTTAAAATTCCTAATAAATTATTTTAAAACATTCCACTTAGGAGTCCTGTTGACTTTTGTCTGCCTTGTTTCCCACATATTCACCCAGGACAGTGTTTTGATTCACAGGTTTTGCATGCCACAACCAAATAATGACAGTAAAAGCCAAGCACAAAGCAGATTATGTCACACGTTTTCTAGATTCAGACAAAAGAAATGGTCTATTCATGACCTTTTTTTTTTACATGAAACATCTTTTATTTTGCATTCTCTATTATATTTTTGGACACCTTGCACTTTGCATCACTTTCCATGAATGCACGTTACCTGTAAATGTTTGATAGAACGTACTCTGCATTGTCATTAATATGTAGTGAATGACCAAAAGCAGAGGAAAGAAAGTTGACCCATCGCGTAATGTGAAAACTACTGGGGGACTCTTAAGGTAAAAATGTGTTTTAAATAAGTAAAAACATTTGGTTCATACAATGAGCGTGTATAAAGTATGAATGTAATGTCCAAGGCCTGTAGTACACATGCACTCACATAAAACGAAAATGGAAAACCTGATTGGAGATCAGAGGGAATGAATGGTGGGAATAGGTGCTTCTCCCTGCTGCTCTTTAACAGAGGAAATCTGACCCAGGAGCCAAAGGGCAGGATTTGACACTCAGGAAACGGAGAGGGTGCTGACTGATGGATATATTCTTCTACAATACCTCTCTGTTGAATGGGTCGTTAAAGCCACTTTGCTGGATTTTAGTGTTCACCTTCACATTATTTAAATTCAGTTTGTTCTTATGGCAACAGGTCACATCAACAGTGATCCTAGGTAACTCTGAAATGTTAAATTCCCAAAAAACAAAGAAGTTCAGCCTGGTGATTTTTTAGACAACACCAATGTGGTAATCTAATTGGATTTCACTTGGCTTCACGGGTAAGCATGTTTTAGGGTCACCAGTTTGTGGGGACCCTTGTGTCATGATGTCTGATACAACTTACCGGATGGAAGAATCAACAGAATAAAGACACTTTGAGAGGAAGCGAGATTATATTTCATTAAGGTTTTTTTTTTATTTGTTTGAAAGGAAAGCAAAGCAAAGAAAGTTATTACTTGATTTCTACATTGCAATTTGATTATTAGACATGTTTTTCTCTTTACATTCTAACTAATTCCAGGATTTTGCAACCCCCCCAGTATAATTCTGTTAGACCATATTTATTCAAATTTGTCTTTGTTTCCTTCTTTTCATGTGGAATACCTTACTATCGGGGTCCTATTTTTTACAGTTTATGTCAGCCAAGTATATTTTTCTACCGAGCTACCACGTTAGGAGTCCAGTTCCAGAACTTCTGCAGCTTGCCGGATTTTGAACCTGAAAAGAAAAATGGGTTACGATAACTATAGCGCGGTGACACTCAGTCATTTACTGTTCAGGAAACCTATCAATTATATCACACCGCCCTCATCATTTTGTTTCAAAGCATCACTGTCCTCAGCCCAGTCTGCCTCTGCCTCCCTCCTGTACCTCTGCTGGCTGATTCCTCTCTTCCATCATCACTGCTCGGCTGCCTCCCCTCCCCCCCCCCTCCTCCCCCCCCCCCTCCCCCCCCCACCTCCCAGCGCCTCAGCGCTGCTGCTTTGCCCCTCTGCCTCTCACCGTCTGCTGGGACCTCGCTCTCGGCCATGAACGCCACGTTTGCACCGCCCGGTGTCTCTGACGTCTTGAAGAATGGGGAGGCTTGGGAGATTCCCCCTGTGAGGACCGGCCTCCGCCTCGCCACGTCCAACCTGCCTCTGCCCGCCACGGCCCATCAATATTGTGCCGCCGGCCTCCTCTGTGCTGGTGAGTACCACAATAGTTTGAAAATTCGAGGTTTACCGAGCACATGTGTTATGCTGTGAGGATCTGCCAAAGGAGAAAAAATATTGCATGTGTTGTTTTTTTATAGTTTTAGCTGTTTTCTGATTGGTAGAATTAGTCAACTTTGTCACATTTGAATGTATGGAACAGAGAGAGCGGTGCCCCTGTTACACTTAGTTTCTAACAACAACTGAGAAGCTCAGTTTTTTTTTTTTGCAAAACGATTTTTTTTAGCTAAGGCGCACCTTTACTTTATGTGGACCATCCCAACAGGCGGTGATACCGGATGCCGTCTGGTTAGCTCTCACTGCCCCCAAATGACACAACGCTTTAAGATGTCAGAGCGTTAGATCTGAGAGACGCTTTTAGATTGGCCTTAAGTCTCGGAGCTGTCCGATGGATGACAGAGATGACATGACAACAGCAGCTGAGGCGTCCTTGTGAACGGCAAGATGACACACAGAGAGAGAGCAAGATACACACACACACACACACCATGAGAGCAAGATACAGCCATGAATTAGAAATTAAAATCAGATGGAAGGGCAGAGGAATTATTTAGTCGATTACAAACAAAGAAGCCAGAAAAAAGACACGTGACTGAGTCGCATGTGTTTACCACTCTGTTGTAGCTTTACTGACCGGAAAATATGGATCCACAGCTCCAGTTTGGACTGTAATGAACTGAAAGTGAATAGTGATCATCTATTAGACACGGAAAGGCTTCATGAGCAGGATTACGGTGCTCCATGCTGCTTTGTGTGACAGTTCTCCACCTGGGGATTGTTCCAGCTGCCATCAGCCTTGGGATCATTTCTCCATCACTGTACACTGACATGTGCATGTTTCATGTGTGCCACGCAGAAGCGAGCAGAATCATGGAAGGACCTCGGTAAACTTTGTTGGTCTGCAGTCTGTGGTGTGATCGCTTGAGAGTGGAGGTAGAAGTGGCGGAGAAGTGAGAGTGTTTGAGAGAGCAGCTCCACAGGAGCACAACAGCTCTGCTTGGCTCTCATCAGCAGCAGCTCAGACAGAAATTCACTTCACTGCTGGATAATCTTTAGTTTCAGCTTTCCCACAAATCAAACTGCAGTAAAAACCTTCTATCCACCAAGATTGTGTAATTGCAAGGCAACAGAGATTATTATTTACCCAGGAAACGATGATTGTGCACCGGTAGCACACATGAAAAGTGTCAATTATTTAGTCAAAGTGTCGAATCAGATCATCCTTCAACAATGCTATCAGATTCTGTGCAGAATTTTACATCTTTTAAGAAAAATCACTCTCATTTCCAACCAATGTTTGACACCTGCTGCAAGCTGTTGAGTCTGAGAGGCTCTCAGACTGTGATATGTAATATTAACAGTGTTCCGAGTTTAAAAATAGAGCATCTGATCTTCTGGCATGGTCATCCAGTGCACTCATTAAAATGAAAATTAAAGTCTAATCACCAGTATATCACCGAGTATTAAGAGCCGTCTGAGCGAAGAGTTGGTGAAGTGTTTCTGTTTTTGACCGTTGCCACGGAGCCGGTACCTGAAAAACATTAGCACGAATTGAAGCCTTCTCATTGTGGGCAGCAGAAAATGTTTGGAAATGCACAATGCTGAAGTTCAGCTAAAGAGGGAGGCAGCGATTACTCATTTTTGACCCTGAAACCACTCTTCAAAAACCAATGGGCATCCCACAATAAGAACCAAAAAGTGGCTGGATACATGAACCTGGGTGAGTTTGAGCGGGTGAAACCTTTTAAAGTGCTCTGACTTTATGCAATTTCAACCAATCTTCTTATTCAGCAAAGAATCTGACATGAAGAAAAAGGTAAAACTGCTGAGACATTTCCCAGTAAGATCATCGGCATTATAAACATGTTGGAGCTGGCATGGGACGCAATTAAAACTTCCTTCGACAAAAAAATAAAGGTAAGACCGAAAGAATGTGCTTCTCCCAGCCCCAGAAAACGCCCACCCACTGAACCCAACCCTGACGATCATTTATGAGCATTCATACGTCAGCGGCCACGTCCAAGCCACGACACATGAAATTGTTTGACCCAGCAAGATTCAAAACTCATTAATGCTTTTATGGATGGTCGACTGCTTTCTCCCCTCAGTGAGCGTATAAATGCTTCCCTTAGTGGTTTACACTGAACACCGGCAAACATCTCAGTCATCGCCTGAGCTCATTATTCGGGCTTTAAAGCCGAACTGAGAAGTTAGGGGCCTGGATCAAAAGAGTATCTGACATATGGCTGTTAAAATCCACCCTGCAAGGTAAACACCATGACTTTTAACCCCTATGCTGCCCTCTGCTGGAAAGAGCTGGTTTTTAAGCAGAGGGTGGAGCTGAAAGCCCCCACGGCTTACTTCAATCCAATCAAATTTCATCAACATTTGACAACGTATCAAATCTAATTTCTTAACAGTATATATAACAATGCATTTGTTCATTTAAATGATTTTTCGATGGATAGATGAACTGTAAAAAATAAATAAAATGACCTCACACCAACTTCTGAAGTTGAACTATTGTCATATTTTTCATTGTTATCTACTCAAGACTAATATGAATTCATATTTTGATGGAATTTAACAGTCTACTGTTTACTCTCCTCTTTGGTCTTCTTGTTTCATACCCTGTATTCCACAGTTTATAACCCACTCACTCTGTCCCACCATGACACACAGGCATTGAAGAAAGTTAGTTTATTTCTCTCTGTCTTCTGAAGGAATTGTTTTGCTCGTGATGTCTGAATAAAATAGTTTTAAACTCTGCTGTTGTCTTTTTTTTTATCGTTTTCAAAATGGAGGCTTATACAGACCAGAAAATGCTCAACGGTTTTTATTTATTCAAGTCATTTCTTAATTCTTTGGCGATTTCAATCATTTGATGGCACATAAAAATCACAGAGCCTTGTGTTTGAGTGGAAAGACCAGGCCTGAAGCAGCAAAATGCAGATGATGTGAATACACCATAAAATAACATTACGAGGGAATTTATCATCCACAAAGTGCATGATGTAATTGTGTTGAGCTGGAAAAAGGTGGATGATGTGTTTGCATTTAGAATAGTGACTGCATGCTGTGGAGCTTTACTGTTTAACCACAACAGGAGGAAAAGCGTGACTTTGTCTTCACTAAAATACTGACAACACGGTTTATCATTATTTGGAGTGCACACAGCAACACCCTGGAAACTCAATAGTCGTGAGAACGTCTCAGAGGACTCTGACGTGTGACGGCACAGACTGCTGAGCAGCAGAAATCTGCCGAAATCTGCAGCTGTCAAAAGCAAAAGACAGAAGACGTGTAGAGACACTCACGTCCCCATCCTGGGTGTTCATTGTCTGTCGGGCTAAATCGTTGAAAGTGATCTGTTGTCAAGGGGTTTACCAAAGACTTAAGTTGCTCTGATCAAAAAGCATCTTAACACATCAAATGAGGTCACTAAAACACCATGACAGTCTGATATAATTTGAGTAAGAGCTGGGGTTTTTTTCCATCTTCACGTGTCACATGCCCGGAAAAATATCATGTCAATCAAACAGTGATTATTTTATTTGCCGTCTAGAAAGTACAGCTCAGCCAGCACAGTGATAACAAGACCCAGAACCCCCAAATAAGAGTCTTTTATTAAGGTGTCAAAATCTGCACCCTGAAGATGGATGCAACATTCAGTTCATTCAACTGTCATAACAAAACTGCTGAGATGGGACAATAAGGCAAATGTTTTGTAGCAGAATAGCATCACATCCACAATCAAATCAAACACACACAAAGAGAAAAAAAGAAGGAAACTGACTGAAAACAAGAAAATTGAAACAACAAGCCAGCAAAAGCCTGTTGCCTTCTAGTGCTGCCATATTCCAAAATTAGAATTTGAAGGATCCCGAGGTGTGTAAGGCATTGAATGTTACGAGGCCATGGCTATGGGGGAGAGGACAAACAACACATATTAAGATTACTGGTGGTTCACATTGTGTGGTAATGGAAGTTAACTTTATGTTTAACCTTTTTGGAGCAACTAGTTTTGTGCAAAGTGTACTTCTTTGGTATTTTTTAGATTAAACAACAAAACACTGGTATGTGGCTGCCTAGGATGTAATTTATATGCCTGATTAGTTCAGGGAACCTTGCTTGCTGTGCCTCTAATATCTAACAAATATGTATTTGGTTAACAGTGTGTTTAATTGTGCTTTGTGGCACATTTCAATTATAGTAACTTGCCGAAATAATAATAATAATAATAATAATAATAATAATAATAATAATAATAAT